GTTCTATAACCATGACAACCCATGTCACAGGTCCTAGAGCAGTCAAAAAAGAAAGAAAATATTGTGATATTGATCAAACAAGCACAACAAATTGGGATGATCCCCATATTTGTACTGACTTATATAATTTTTTGCAATAGCAATAATATAATTGATATAGTCTTCTTCCTTTTTACATTCATATTTGAATAAGATGTGTTTGTGTCCTAGTCTAAGTCTGTGCCCAAATCTAGCATTTAATTTGCATTCTACTTCATTCCATAAAAGCTTTACTCTTTTGCATGAAATGAAAAAGTGTGCAAATGAATCTTCCTCGTTACAATATGAATAATTCTTTGAGGTAACTCCTTCAATTTTCCATTTAAAAAGGTGATTACTAGTGAAGGTTCTTGAAGCCTGTTGCCAGAACTCATCATAGGATCTGGAGGCTATACCATCTTTGACTCTGGAAGCTATACCTATTGTAGACTCTGGAGGCTATACCATCTTAGACTCTTGGAGGCTATACCAATTGTAGACTCTGGAGGATGAATCCATATAATACTCTGAAGTCACACCATATTGGTCTCTGAAGGCTGAATTCATAATATACTGTGGTGGCTGTACCATCTTTGACTCTGGAGGCTGAGTCCATATGATACTCTGGAGGTTGTACCATATGAGACTCTGTAGGCTGTATCAATTTTAGATTATAGAGACTGGGCCATCTTAGCCTCTTGGAATTGGAGGTTGTAGCCATCATAGAAGTAGACCATTAAACTCTTGAGGCTGAAGCCATATTAGACTATGATTGTTAATATTACTCATAGACTATACCATTTTCCACTCTGGAGGCTAAACCATCTTAGGCTCTGAAGGCTGTACCATCTTAGACTCTGGAAACTGATCCCATGTTATAATTGGAGGCTGTACCATCTAAGGGTCTGGAGGCTGTATCATCTTAGACTCGTGGAGGCTGTATTTATCTTAGGCTCTGAATGCCAGAGCAATCATAGGATCTGAAGGTTGTATCATCTTAAGACTCTGGAGACTGATCCCATGTTACATCTGGAAGCTGTACCATTTTAGACTAGTGAAGAGGCTGTACCTATCTAAGGCACATCATATACATATTTCATGTTATAAAATGAGTGTTCTCAGAAAATATGCACTATACTACACTATTTGCGTTTATTATGCCCTGTTACTATGGCAACCCCTTGACACTCACCATATTAAAGAATAACATCAGTTTCCATGAGCCCTATAAATAAAACTGTGACTGATTCTGTAAAATGACATTTTTGGGAAATAATCATCAAAAAGTGCCACACCCACTTTTGAGTAGATAGAGTGGTAGTCACCTAATAGAATAGAGTCCAGAGTTGAAGATATCATATAACTCATCATATTAATCGTGTTATCTTATTAAACAATCCCCAAATATGTTTTTAGGGTAACTTAATCTTTTTTTAAATCATTTGAAGAGAAATTGAAACATTTGTTATTATAGAAAGCTTCAGATTTACCTGAAATATAAGATTTGGAGCAATTAAGTTGTGATCTCTAATCACTTATAAATGACAGGACACATGCCTCGTATGTAATCAAGTTTAAAATCTTATAGCAAATAAATAAAACCTTATTATATTAAACCAGCCTTATTGTGATTGGAGTTATATAACAGAAATTATTAATGTTTATCCTAGTACCCCCTCATAAAATTACCCCAGGGAGTATAAATGGTGATTTTAAGGTTTTCCACAAGTTAGATTTTTCTAGATTTTTGATATGTTTGTTTTACTTACAAATGGCTATTGATAACACTAGGTTTACCCTGTATTGCAATTTTTCATTTATTTGTGAATATTTACAATGGTTTTACTGGAGAATAATATGGAATCATCTTATGATGGTCTGATCCCATATCTCAAGTCTATGGCACGGTCCAAGCCCTACTGTGGATATTGCGGTCAATGGTAACACAATCATTGATTGAAATCTAAAGCGATTAAATTGTAATCCAAATTTAAAAAATTTAATTTTCTGTCTTAAATTATAAAAAAACTAATTAAAATTGGTTTTAAAGTATTTTTTAATGACTTTATTTGGTGATTGCTTTTGGCCTTTAAATTGTGTAAAACCCAATTAAGAAGTGGTATTTAATGATTTCTCAATTAATTTCTAAATCAATTGAGTTGGAGACCTGGATGGTGGTACCATCATTTTTTTTAGATGTTCCTGTAAGGAGTGTTGAGGAATGTTTGAAAGCAGATCTGATTTCCTCTGGGCTATGCAGCCGTAGGGAAGACTGTCAGAATCAATCAATCTTGAACTTTTTGATTATGTTTTATAGATTTGTATAATATTCTCAAATGATTGTACATGTAAATGGAATCCAACAATGCTACTACTCAGTACAAACTGGACTATCAAACATTTTCATATCTTAGAAATTATTCTTCCATTGTTCTTGAAAGGAATAAATGGATATTGACACAGAATTTTTTTGTAGGAACAATATGACAAAACAAGACTAAATCCACTATTCTGAGCTCATTTTAATGAGACATACGTATAAGCCTATCTTGAAAGTCATTATGGTAAAATATCCCTAAACCATCACATGCTACTTTGAAAATGTCATTTTTCCAATTTCCAATCATTTTTACATCTCTTTAAGAATAATAAGACAAAAAAGATGATATACACCATTTTGAGCTCATTTAAGATGCAAAAAATTAGATTTTTAAGAAATGTCCAGTCACAAGACTATGTGCACCATCTTGAGCTCATATGAGATGCATATATTACATTATCTTAAAAATTACTAAGATAAAATATTGTTACCCCTGGCCCTTCAGAAGCGAAAATGTAAATTTAATTATTTTAAAATTTACAATCATTTCTTACATCCAATTAGGAATGATATGACAAAACAAGATGTCATATACCATTGAGAGCTCATATGAGATGCATACATTGCATATTTCAAAAATTATTAAGGTAAAATAAGGTTACCCCTGAGCCATAAGAGCTAAAAATTGAAATTTCAATACTTTTTTATCAAAAATACATGTGCTTACTTGGCTATTTATTTTGTCTGTGTAAACACCCAAATCTCTATTACAATGAATTTTTTAAAGACTTCAAGTCATCAAATTCTTGAAATACAGTACTGGATGTCACATATCTGGCCCTTTAAACCATGAATTATTGCTAGATAATTTAATTAACATGTATTTTCCCTCTAAACACCACTTTCAAAATGGGTTTTACACAATTTAAAGACTCAAAGCAATCACCAAATGAAATCATTTAAAGAAAATTACTTTAAAATCATTTTTAATTAGTTTTTATAATGTACCCCCCACATGCATGATAGGTGGGGGGTCAGGGGCCAAAAAATCCACAAAGACTATCCCAAATCACTTACACTGAAATCATTTTTCACTCAGATGTGGTGTTTCTACAAATATACCAAGTTAATTGCTTTTCTGAAAAGATGAACTGATAAAGGGCTTATTTCTGGACATCTGACTCAATTGTAAGATTAACAGATTCTAAAACTATATAAATACCAATTTAATTAAATTAAATTTTCAAAATTTGGATTACAATTAACCGCTTTAGGTTACAATTAGTGATTGGGTTACAATTGGCCGCAATATCCAAAGTCGGGTTACAATTAGCCGCATTGCGGCCAATTGTAACCGACAGGGTTACAATTAGCCGCAGTCTCGGGACCCCCATACACGGCCCCTGGGGGTCAGGATGAAAAAACGGAATATATGTGAAATAGATAGATGTTGCGAATATACTACCAATATACTACCAATTTCAAACAATAATATTAATTACTTTGGTTTAGAATGAAAAATTTATGATTTTTGCGAAAAAGTCCCGTCATTTTTAAAGTGGCGGCCATCTTGAAAAAACTATGCACCAATATACATCTTTCCACTAAATATGAAGAAAATCCGTCAACTAGTATTTGAGTTATCTTCCAGACGGACGGACGGACTGACGGCTTCACTATATCCCTTCCGAACTTCGTTCGTTGGGATAATTACCTGACCCGCAAACTTTTTTTGTGGCCGACCCAACACAAAGAATATCTGATCTGTGACACCTCTAATGGTTACATGCTACTTAAATGATCCACATATTATTTCTATTGTACTTCTACAGCCATCTAATGTGTCAAATAGTATTTCCTCTCAGTACTTGCTACATGAAACAATTGTTTTGCTTTAATTGATAATCTGGGGATTAATATTAATAAAAAGAAAGCATGAAAAATTATTTAGAAAATTTAATGTAAAATCAATAAAACAAGCCACATAAGTTCTATTCATGATAAATACAATGTCAAAATATGAATTCCATTGGAAAATTAGATTCCTAAATATAATAGATCATCTTACTATTTTCTCACCTTTCATAGTTCTACTCAAAAATAGATCAGTGCATCATATCACGATTTAATGGACCACATGATATATTACTTCATGCCAAACCTCATAAGCATGATTTGGAATTTACATTCTCAAATAGAATTTATTTCGTGATTGAAGGAATAAAAGGTGACAACAAGGATGAGTATTTCTCTTATAGAAAAGTAATTCTAAAAGATGAGCCCTGGGAATGACATCATTCATTTTTGTATGGCATATTTGTTTACAAATGAGATACATTTAAATGAGCACATTCATTCAAGGACGGTTTATCCATTTTCAAATTTATATGATTTCTTTCAGAAATGAGGAAGTTGGGACATGCATGCCTTGTGAAAATATTTGTCGATATATATATATTTATCATTCAAAGACTTGTAGCTTGAGGGATGTTTCAAAATCTTCAAAAAATTACATCATGATTTTATTTGTTATTTATTTGACATACCAATACAAGATAATTTTATGCTGGTGTAAGGCTGTCTAAAGATCTATGACATCATCACTCCTCAGCACGACTTGAAATGATATATAAGGTCTAAAAGAGCCAGCTTAACACCCAACTTCTCAAGGCAATGAATGATGACGATGATGATGATGATGATGATGGGAATAGACATGCTTAAAGTTCTGGTTTGTTCAGTTTTTTGCAGCATTTGTTTTCTTGATGCGGCTGTCATCAATAATAGAGATGCAATGGTGAGTAAATGTTTTGAACTTTTTAATTTGAATTTAGCGTAGTTGGCAGATCACTAATAGCTGTTTTTTACTTACTGACCAAGTGATTTGTTTTGGGAAAACTTAAAATATATTGCTACACGATAAAACCTGTATAAATGAACATCACATGGGAGCTGTTCTACAGCAGGGTTAAATTGTTTTGTTGCAAAGACTTTTAAGAAAAATGAAGCAATAAAAACCTGCTTTGTAACTCTTACCTATGACAGATTAAAATTAGGACAAAATGTGTTCACATTCGATTGAGAGGTAAGATTAGATAAGTGTTCTAATATGCAGGTGTTTTATTCTACATCATGTGTTCGCTAAGTGAGGTTCATGCTATTTACCCAGGGTCATTATCATTCATAGTATTAACAAAAGTTTCACATTAACAGAATTAAACATTTTTGATTTCTTAAAATGAGATATACATGTACACACCCGGTGATCGTGAAAATGGGACGGAGGGGGGGAGCAGGCAATTTCCGCTAGAAAATTCAACAAATCTGGTAAAACTATTTTTTCAAGACAGAGTTTACGATTGAATTGCAAAATGAATAAGCGCACCGTATGATAAAATATGTTAGGTATTCTAGGATTATTTTTCAACCGATACTCTTTTAAGATATAAGATCTATTAAAAAAGGCGCAACGCAACCAACGTGCAAAAGTCAAAGTTTTTGCTATAAATCAAGCAACAATGGACTACACGACCTGTAATAAATACTTGTAAGTGATATTATCATAACTAAATTAATGTCATTGCTGAATTTATAAAATAAGTTTCCATACGTAAAATAAAAAATAATCGAAAACAATTAAAATGGGACGGAGGGGGGGAGGGGACGGAGGGGGGGGAGTAATAATTCTATAAATTGAAACAACTTCACACGAATTCTTGTATTTGAAAAATTAACTCATTGACTTAGTAAGAAACTGGATGATATACCCCTGGAGACTGAAAAATGGGGACATTTGGAGTAAAAGGACTTAAAGTCACGAAACATCTCTAATCATGTATTATATACATATTGCTCCCCCCCCTCCGTCCCCTCCCCCCCTCCGTCCCAAATTCATTATTTTCGATTATTTTTTATTTCACATATGGAAACTTATTTTATAAATTCAGCAATGACATTAATTTAGTTATGATAACATCACTTACAAGTATTTATTACAGGTCGTCCAGACCATTGTTGCTTGATTTATAGCAAAACGTTGATTTGTACCTGTTGATGGCCTTGCGCCTTTTTTAATAGATCTCATACCTTAAGTGCGTATCGTTTCAGAAAAAATCCCTGAAAACCTAACATATTCTACCATACCGTGTGCCTATCCATTTAGCAATTCAATAGTAAACTTTTTCTTGAAAAAATAAATCTTCCAGATTTGTTGAATTTCCTAGCAGAAATTGCCTGCTCCCCCCCTCCGTCCCATATTCACGATCACCGGGTGTGATGTATATGTGAAGATAAAAGCTATAACTTATCAAGATCCGTTTTCGGAACTACATATTTGGTTGCAAGTCATTGTTCGTCAAAAAGTAGACAATGGTTTTCTTGGAAACCTAAATTACGATCGAACTAAAAATGAACCATTGGTACGGATTGAATTCTAACATTTTAAAGGCCTTATATAATTTGGAGTTTCATGAACTTTATTTCCCAGTTTCATTTTCTTCCACTTGAATGGTAGATTGTTCGAGGTCGGTAGCTTGTTATTTTTTTTTTGTTGTTGCATATTTCGGGATCTGTATGAATTTCTAATTTTAGACATACCTTGAGAAAAATGGTTATATGGTACCAGGAAAGTCCCAAAGAGATTCAATATTGCACTTCCAATGTTTTACCCATCTTCCACAGACAGGTAACTACTTAGTTGTATTATATTTTGCTCAAATCAAAAATCAAAAAACAACAACAGAAACTATTCAATTTTGTATGTACAGGGTGGTCAAATAAAATGGCAACCCTGCCGCTATTTGCCTCATATCTTAGAAAAGTACTCCCTGTACATGTGTACATCATTCAATCTCCTACCAGCCAACAATATTTCATGGCCATCAGATTGATAGTAATTAATGTTACAGCACTTTAAACAACATGCTCCAGGGTCCAATATTGCACTTTGGGCAAACCTGCACCAGTCATCCAAAATCTTCATACCTGACTTCCACCTGTGGGCTATGCCAAAGATAAAATGCACAAAAATGACCTCAGGATAATAATAGACGTCAAAAAGAAGATCATAATTGTCATTCAGGCTAGACAACTTGTGCAGGTTTGCCTAAGCGTGATGATTGCCACACCTGGGGCATGTTGTTCAAAGTGCTGTAACATTGTGACTTTTAATCTGATGGTCTTGAAATATGGTAGGCTGACAGAAAATTGAATGATGTACAAGTGTGTAAAATATCAGGGAGTAATTTCTTAAAATGACAGATATAAGGAAAATACAGGGTTGCTGTTTTTTTTTACCACCCTGTATATTATTTATACTTTTTAGAGGCTATGACACTAGATTATGAATTCCAGACTCTTAAATCTGTTTGAAACAATGCATAGAAATTTTATAAATTGTTCATTGATTTTATGATTAAAAGGAATGTTTTAGATATTGAATTGGAATATAATTCTGGGACTTTAAGGAGTTATTAAATTAAATTATAGAAACAAACTTTGAAATTATGATTCAATAAACTGAACAAATAAAACAAGAATTGATTGACAAAGTTATCACAGAAATTATACAATAATTTTACAGGTGTCATTGATGAAGGAACCATGGAGATGATGAACCAACAAAGATGTGGTGTGCCAGATATACAAGTCACAGCCAACTTTAGAACTACCCGTAAATACATCATTTTTAATAACGCCGTATTTTAGTTTTCAAAATTATTTGATGAAATGCAGTTTTATCTTTTAATTGTTCTTACAACATACAAGGATTTACTTTTATGCACAATAAAATGACATGGAAATCTTATTTACTTAACTGAAAAAGACAGGCATCATCATAAAAAATTCTATGTGGAGAGGACAATTGCATTTTTTCTTGATTTGAACATTGTTCAGAGATTTTTCCGAAAAGTTGACTATTGATAAAAAAAAGTATTTTAGTTTTCAAATATTTGAATTTCTCACCATTTAGCATTATTGATCATGGTTTACAACACTCATATACTTAAGTACATTATTCTCCATTTTATTGAATATTTTGTTATTGGTTTCAGGTCTCAAATGGAATCATAAAAGAATTTCTTACAATTTTGTCAACTATTCTCCTGATTTGCCAAGAAATATTGTGGAGCTGGTCCTTACAAAAAGTTTCAAGGTAAAATAAATGTAAATAAACACCTAAACATATCTGATTGGTACCTAAGCACAAAAATATGATTGATTTTTCACAAAATATATAGTTCTCACTGTTTTACAGATCCAAAATATATTATATATACTGTAATTGTTTGTATATTATATCAAAGAAAAACAGAGAAATAACATGAGCAAATGTTTACATGCTATTGGCTTCAAAAGTGTAACATTAACAGTTTGTTACAGATATCAACCACTGAGATCTACACAATGAATTTATGTTTCTAAAATATGAGCTACAACTATTAGTCATCAATTCTTAATCGTGACAAAATAATATTTTTCCTGATTTTGAGGCTTAGTATGTTTGCAGATATGGAGTGATGTTACTAGTTTACGATTCAACCAGATAAACTCTCTAGATGCTGATCTGAATATAAGATTTGCTGCAGGTGTACATGGCAACAAACTCACTGATCCACCTTTTGATGGGCCTGGCAATATCTTAGCACATGCTTTTTACCCCAGAGATGGCCGCATACATTTTGATGAAGATGAAAACTGGACTATAGAGTCCCGATCAGGTACAACATTCATCTATATTTAAAATGAAAAAGAAACAATCAAAGAAGCAAATAAGCCTGGCTTGCCTCTCCTTCAATCTTTGATTATACATAGTAGATATCCCCCAATGTTTTATTTCCATAGAATGCAGACAGAATTTGATTTGTCTTGGTCCAAAGATTTGCAGAATCCTGAATTCTGATCAATTTCTGATGAATTTTGGCCATCTACCATAGCAAGTGTAATCCTTTCAGAAGCCATCATTTCAATTTGAAGACAAGGAATTAACATGTCACTTCCTGCCATTTGTTAAAGATGCTGAACACGCCTCCAACACAACAAAGTTGGAGACTATAGTAATACTTAGTATGTCACTATGTGACATAATAAAACAGGGGGGAGTAATATAATTATGAGCAAATTATAAACAACTGTTCCAGGCAGGAATCTACTAAATGTTGCTGTTCATGAAATAGGACATGCTCTGGGCCTAGGTCACAGTTACATCAAAGAAGCAATAATGTATCCCTATATACCTCCATACAACCCAGATTTTCACCTGCACACGGATGACATAGCAGGCATCAGAAGTCTCTATGGCAACAATGAAGGTATGATGATCAAGGAGACCAAGTTCTAGTCTAAATGCCTTTTCAATTTTTAAAGATGCCTTGGTGCTACATTAGATGATCAGATGTACATTTATATTATGATATCATGTTACGGCAGACATGAGAAGTTTTATGAGTGGCTCTAAATGAAATATTAATATTGCTTTAAACTATAACTTTACTAGATTTCTATTTCATATCAGATGGAAAATAAAATGCATGAATCAATGAATCTAAATACTGTAATAAAATGCCTAAAACTGTTCATATACTGGTACATGGAATGTCTTAGAATTTGTACTCCTGATTTATTAGATTGAGGATTTGTGTACGAGCACAGTCTATTTAAAATCCAACCATTTGAATCTCTTCACCAACTTATTGCATTTTCAGACTGGACTAACCCTATCAATGAAAAATGCATCACACCATCAAATGTCAAAATGGTCAGTGGAATCACAAGTCTTCAGTTATGCAAAGACGCATGTAAGGCAGAGCAATCGTTTGTATGCCTGGCTTTGGACTACAATGAACGTTTAGAAACATGTCAACTTTCACGCACCTACCACCTTAACTCTATCTATAGGGAATGTCCTGGGTATGTCTCTACAGAAAGAAGGACAGGTACAAAACAAAATGACTTTATCAATTTATAATCGAAGACAATCTCACTGTTTATTAGGGATGTCACGGGACAAAAATATTTCGGGACGGGACATTTAGTACACTGCAGAATAAGAGCCTACAATTATCATTTAACATCAAGTTCAAATGAGGGTTCTAACAAAAATAAATATACACTGTATGATTGTACTTTTGCAGGAGGGCCATGGACCGATAAGTACAATACATGCATACAAGGAAACGATGACGCGATTGTTGAAAATGCCCAATGTTACCAAAGCTGCAAGGTGAAGTGCTATGCTGAAAACTCATTTGTTTGCCTCTCATTTGAGTTTGAACGTGCAAAAAATGAATGTCGCTTATCCAAGAAGAATTCATCTAATGCCACTCTGCAGAGACCTTGTCCAAATAGAGGCGTTCATTATTTTGAACGACAACAAGGATAGGCATTCATGAACATTTGAAACTAAAGGACAGAGCATTATACATTTGGAGGACCTACTCTAACCTGGATGATATTTGTTTCAGAATTAAACAAATATTCAGAAACTGCTAAGATTAAGAACTGAATTAAATAAGCAAGCTGCAATTATACATGTATATATGCTTTTAAAACTGCATGATTGTCACTGACATTCATCATACTGTATGTAAGAAATGTTCAATATAGCAAGGGTTTTGTAAGCAAGGCGAAAAGTACTCACTTGAGAAAGGTGTTCATTTAGACTCTGTAAATATATGAATCTACACTCACATCTTTAACAAAATGTTATTTGATTCAATAAATTATCAAAACTACCTTATAATTACCTTTTTCTATTTGTACAGCATCTTTCTCCTGGCTCACTGATCCATTGGGCTGTTTCACGTCAACCTGGAGAAGGATTGAAACTGATATGTTCTTGCATCAAAAGTCTCTGGAGCCCCCCCCCCCTTTCTCATTAACTTTATCATTATTGAGGTGAGGTGTGTAGAAAGAGGGGGGGGGGAGGGGGGGGGAGGTTGCAAGGAATTAAAGCAAGACTGAACAAGACAGCATTTAGATTTTTGGATATAAAAAGGGATTGATATAATTTATATCAATCACATTGAGTTTCATAGATCATCATGCCATTGGGCTTTAACGCAATGCATTCATCTGTTTGTCATCATCACATTTAGGTAAAATGTAAATATTGATACCTGTCAATGGGTAAGGCCATGATCTTAATAAGATAAAATCAAAGAACGATTTATAAGCTGATGTGTTTATTATTATAAAAGATACTCACTGTTTCTTGGTTGAGTGATGTCAGGGTCACCTAGAAACATAAAAATACAAAATTTTACATCATGATCAGATGTATAACATTATATGGAGACAATACAATTATATGTTATTCAAAGCAGCATATCCTTGTTTCAAACATTCAAAGTAAAACATATAGGTAGTATTAGGTAATATTTTCCTAAATTTTCCCAATTTAGATGAAATTTTCTAAAAACATCCCAACATGCTCAAATGACCTACATTTGGAAGGAATACTGAATTGATGGTCTATATGATTAATATATCAACTGTACCTTTTCATCTGGTTCTCCTGCAGATCCACTAAAGGTCGGCTTGGCAACTGGCCGTGCCAGTGAGGTCTGTTGATGCATACTGTCACCCCTGCATCTATACCACACCTCACTTGAACCTACAGATTGAAATCGAATTTTGAATGGAAAAATCAGACTTGCATCAATTTCCCTGCATACCTTTATGCATATAAAGTTAAACTGCAATAAACATACTTACTCCCTGATTTGCATATTTTTGATTTTTGCTTACACCATGTTGAATTCCCAATTGGAATTTTGTTTTCTAGCTTTCAAAATTAAATCAACTGAAGAACAAGACAGAGTGAACAGAATCACATCCATTCTAAACTCCTGTTGAAACATCCCTGAAAACTTCTCATATATTTTTTTGAATATTATCTTAAATGATTTTCATTTATAGTACTCACACACCAGAATAGTCTGACAACGGTAAAGTGAGATACTGTTGTCACAAATGGCGGACATAACCGTTGCTTCAACTCTTCAATCACTTGGTAATCATTTTATGGGACTTTATCGTTGCTAATTCTGTGCATGTATTAAGCTCTTATGATGATATATCATATGAAATCCCAATTTCAATCAAAATGACCACAATATAGCATCTTCGACAATGGAATCTGAATTTGAAATAATTTACAAAGACAACGGCATATGGTAATACAGTGTCCGTTGTCCTCTATTTTATTTTGATTGGTTAAATTAAAGACTTTATTTCGATGGTAGAACATTATTAACTGTACAATGAGTATAAAGACACTTTGATTGATTGTTGTTCCAAAGGAATTTAGTCTAGGTGCTCTATTAAACATACAGTTCATGAAAATCTAATTGAAACGACGGCTATGTCCGCCATTTGTGACAACAATATCTGACCATTGTCAGGCTATTCCAATGTGACTCAGTTGGCCCAATTTGTTGATATCTGTATAAAGTAGCCAAGAAGGCAAAAATCAGAACCATGATTTTTACTGCTTTGATTGTAATAAATAAGGAAATGATGTGATTTACTCACTGCATATCTAGTTTTTTGATTTACTTTTCTTACCTGAGAATACTGCCTGTGGTGTTTGACTGAGTTTTACAATGTAACCTAGTTTTTTTTAGTAATGTTACATCTAGTTACTTAGATTAACAGTGAGAATCATATCATTTCCTTATTTTTTACAAACCAGTTGTCAAAGAAATCTGTCTTCTGATTGTAGAAAGTAATGACAACATGACAACAAGCAATCCAAGATATACAAACATTTTGACTTCTATGGTTTTTTGATTGCTGATTCTTTAGAAGTTGGCACACAACCCAACTGACTTCTGTACATATAGTGTATCATACAACATGTATTTTTTTACTTAGAAATATTTCCAAAATACTGCTCACTGTGAAGAATGCACTGGCAGATCCAGTTGAGGGCCAATGGGGCCTGGCCCCCACCCTAGGATTGCCTCAGAAATTTTTTCTATGGTCCCAAAAATTTCGAGACCCTATCTGTTGCAAGACTTATGCCTGGCACAACCATCACCATGTTATTAAGTGTTTTTAAGTTGAGCAAGGATCCTGCCATGACATTGGAAGAGTTATTGTGAAAGCCAAGTATAACTGTGACAATGCTATATTATATTGCAAGGCCTGTCATGACCGTGATAATGTTAAAGCCTGATATGACTGTGACAATGCTATATTATATTGCAAGGGCTGTCATACCAGGCTTTCACGATTACACTACCATGGTCATGGCAGGATCCTTGCAAAACTTCAAAACACTAATAACATGGTGACGGTTGTGCCAGGCGTAAGTCTTGCAATAGATAGCATGAGAAAATTTCTGCGCCCAAAAATGTTTTTGGTGATTATTACTTTGTCTTTTGGAACTTATTTTTAAATTTTGGGACAAATTATCCAAAATTGGCCTCAAATTTTCAAAAGTGAGCCAAAATGTTTGGACTTGAAATGTACTGTGCTCCCCCTTTTTAGCTTCTGGATCCACCAGTGGAATGCACTATGCATTTTCAATAAACATAAGAACCACAGGTATTCCACACTCCCAACACTCTGTGATAAGAACTATAAAAGGAGTGGTATATAGCAAAATAGACTTGAAGATTTCCTTCTGGTAGAGGCCTTTTTGAAACTTGAATAGATCGAAAAGAGAAAAATAAGAGATTCTATTCAATCTGAATCAAATTCAAATTGAAATTGATTTCTTCTAAAAAAATTAAAATATTTACCTTGGCAACCTCTCGGATCAACAGTTCAGTGCTACACTTACGCCACTGAAATATGATATTTTGTCTACTCCGATGCGTTATGTAGTCTTCGAAATAACAATCGGAGGTATACGACCATAATAAAACACAATAAATTGGATTTATTAGACGAAATTAAATATTTTACTGTATTATCGCCCAAAGATTTTAATCTAAATGTCAAACTTAGAGGAATGAAACGAAATAGTAAAATTAAAATTGCAAACATGTTTTGTTGCACATATCAGCAAATAAGTTGTGATAACCTGATAAACAAGTCTATACAAGTCTCCTTATCATGATATATTATAGTATTGATGTATGAAGTGCACGAATAACAGAAGACTCAGAAGTATTTGCACTTATTCTGTTGAAGAAATACATACACGGCTAAAAATATTGAAGGGAACTGAATGACTGAGAAAATATAATTCTGAAAATGGCATCTACAAAAACTGGCATAGATTTTAAAAATGTCAGTCCACAAAGAAAGGCCTCGGAAAAAAGCACTGACATTGTTTCACCAGGTCAGACAGTTGTGATATGTGGAGGGGGTGTGATAGGGACATCTATTGCGTATCATCTTGCAGAGAAAGGTGTTCCCGCCACTGTCGTCGAACGATGCGAAATAGCGTGTGCAGCATCTGGAAAAGCAGGAGGATTTTTGGCATATGATTGGAATGATAATGGCCCCATACAAGAGCTTTCAAGAAAGAGTTTTCAAATGCATGTAAAACTTGGCGAGACATTGCAAGGAACTGATTTTCGTAAAATGGACACACTTTCAATGGAAGCAAGTGACAGGGAGACCCCACGTACAAAACAAGGACTCGCTAATGTCCCAAGCTGGGTAGACGGGAAAGTGCATCGATGTTCAAGTCTTGGGAGTACAGAAACAACTGCCCAAGTGCATCCAGGTAAATTATCCAAAGCATTCATGGATGCAGCCTGTGTGAAAGGAGCCCAAGTAAAAATTGGAACTGTTAACGGTATCGAATTATCAGCTGACAAGTCAAAAGTCATCGGTGTTAAAGTAGATGATACAGTTATTCCAACTGATGTGGTTGTCATAGCAATGGGCCCATGGTCAGGAATGGCATCTGAATGGGGCCTTGGGGTACCTAAAATCACTGGACAGAAAGTTCATAGTATTACAATGACTCCCAAAGTCCCAATTTCTCCCCATGCACTATTCCTGGAATATGCACGTCACACAGGAGAGCAGTACGAGCCTGAGGTTTATCCCCGTCCTGATGGGGAAGTCTACATTTGTGGTATGTCCGATCCAACTCCTGTACCAGATGATCCGAATCTGGTCAAACCCATAGAAGAATCATGCAAGAAACTTAAAGAAATAGCAAATGGATTATCTACTGCACTAAATGATGCTCCATTGAAAGAAATGCAAGCATGTTATCTTCCGATATCACCATTTGGAGCACCTTGTATTGGTAAACTACCTAAAGTAAAGGGAGCATACATCGCAGCAGGTCATAGCTGTTGGGGAATATTGAATGCTCCAGCAACTGGTGCTGCTATGGCTGAACTCATTGTAGATGGGAAATCCTCAATTGATTTATCATCATTTGATCCCGCTATGGACTAGCTATGGCATAATGTATTGCTATGGATAACACTTTGGTTAGAGTAGATTTGCATGCACAGACTGAATGATCAATAAAAAATGCTATAAAGATGTGACCTATAGATCTGAGGGGACCTTGCCTTTTTATCTCTGCATTTAGAATATATTGTCTGGTACAACTTGACCCAATTTACGTATTCTTTTGTCAAAGCATTTTTTGAGTCAACAATGATTGAGAATAGCATCACAACACACAGACACAGTGCGCCATTCTCAAAATTCATTTCGTTCATCTTTTACAGCAACCAGACCCAGGGTTTTTCTTTCATATTAACTGTTGAAGCAACCATAGACAGCTATATTTTTTTTGAAAGGTTCAATTCCCCAAAGATCTAACGGCTAATCACAGAAGAAGATTACACGAGAACTCAAATAATCAAATCAAATAGATCATGCACATTAAGAAAAATCATCACGTGCCTTCAAGACTTGTCTAAGGTATTTCTAATATAAGCAACAAGAGCACTGCATATTATATTTGCAACTTGTGAAATAGTGAAGGTCTATTTGTGCTTCTTGTAAGCTTATTGTATCTGTGAATTTTTTGAATATACATGTAGAATGAAATCTCTTTTGTTTAAAGGGAATTAGGACAGAAGGGATAGTGTAAATTGTTTGACAATTTCATTGATCTTCATGCATTATACCAGTACTGTTTTTCCAATATTGTAAACCCTGTGTACATTGAACACCTATGGAGCAATAAAATGTGTTCATTGGGCTTTCCCTACAGAATTCAGTATGTGCTGAGAAGAGGTGTTCATTAGACAAAGGTGTTCACTAGAGAGAGGTATTCACAAGACAGGTTTTACTCTATTTCATTACACACTACAAATTCAATTAATCAAAACTTCAAATATTGTTTGTGTTATAAATGTATATTTAACGAATAACAAAACAAAATACATGTATAATTACTGTACTAATTAGTGACAACAAAATGATTGCAATAATTATTTACAGCTGATATAATGAATATAAATCATCATATATTTCAACAGTCAGAAAATGTTTCTGTTTTATATAGAATTGCTGAGAATATAATAATAAACGCAATCTTGCATTTTTGTTGCAGTTAACCACTCTGTAACTCTGTTCCAAATGGCATTCACCATCCATTCACCAATGGATCCACGCATGAATTAGAAAGAGTAAATGATCTGAATGTTAAATAACACTACATTATCTTCAAATAGTTACAGCTTCTTTGATGCTTCAGCTAGAACAAATATTTAACTTATATAGTCTATATCATGAGTAACTTTCAAGAGGACTTTCTTAAAGCTCTTGTATGTACAGGATATGTCAATTAAATATTTATTGAAAATACAGGGTGTTCAAAAGAAGTACAACCCAAAGAAATTGCTATGTCTTGAAAAATACTTATCCAATTGTGTTCATTTTTTCAGGAAAGAAAGATGAGACTGTGTATGTATAGCTCCTGTTGTTATTTAGTTGTAAAACATGATGCCTTGGACACCTGCTCAAAAGACATTAGTATTAGAAAGATACGAAAAATGCAGTCCGAGGTTACTGCCAAGGTATCATGTTTTATAACTAACCAACTACAGGAGCTATACATACACAGTATCTTTTTTCTTTCCTGAAAAAATGAACATAATTGAATTAATATTTTCCAAGATATAGCTATTTATTTTGGTTGCATTTTTTAACACCCTGTACCACATAATTTATTTTAAGCAGGTTTTAACAGTGCTCGATGCTTCAAAATTCTAAAATCCTGTACAGCATGAGAGATGATTTCCACTTCAAATATGATTTTACCATTATGGGGCTCCCAATTCAGCAATTATTATTGAAGTAACCAGATTCCGCACCCATATGACATTTTGGAAATCATGATAATTTAGCAATCTAATAAAGGAGGAGGGGAAGTATCGCAACAAATTTCGGACAGTCACATGGATTTTGGCTATTTTCTGAGGATTTAAAGCACTCATAGAGATGATAAAATAATTTCGACTTTGAGACAGGGAAGTGTTTTCCTGATTATCAACCCCTTCCATCCCTGATTTATTTTTCTTGCATCAAACAATATTCCCCATGTTATTCTCCCATAGGGAAAACTCATGCGATCAATTGCTTTCAGCTAATTTGGTCACCCATAATGGATATCTTTAAGGAATTAACAAGGAATTAACATATGCATCTGTTAAAATCCTCAGAAAATAGTCAAAATCCAACATATGACTGTCTGAAGTTTGTTGCGATACTTTCCCTCCTCCTTTGGGTCTAGATGTACCATATTGTTGGCATTAAATCTTTGGACACCCCATCCTATATGCAGATATGCTTCCCTTCCTGACGGTATATACTATATTAGAAGAGGGGTTACAAAAAGTTGATGCAAGGGAATTTTGTATCAGTTCATCCTGATAAATTTGCAAATATATTTGGTTTGAGCATTGATTGGTCTAAATTAATGTATACAATTTACTTAAGGAAGAGTTTCCAGGAAGGTAACTCAGCCCATCCAACTGTCCCGCAATTTGCATATTTGCCACGCATTTGCTGGAAAATTTGAAGTCATGGCAGTTTTTTTGGGTGACAGAGTGTCACAGAAATACACATTTAATACGTGATTATTGTCAAGCAAAAAAATTTCTGTAGAAAAACTTCCAAAAATTTGAGGTGTCCAAAATTTGGTTATATGCAATAAAATTTGAACCAAGGTGTTCAAACTGTGGGCCAAGGTGTTCAGATTTGGACGAAGGTGTCCACAATTTGAAGAAAGGTGTTCATCATTTGTAACACTCACTCATGTTAGGTGTTTCCAAGTTGACAGGCCTGAGTGGTAACTGCAATACACCCAAGGTCCATGGGCCTGTCACTGAGCTTTGGCACATTTCAGACTTTAAGGTACTAGCAGATATCAGGTTCATGCCACATATCATCCACTATTCTAATAAGCCTCACCATGAAGTAATATACACATAGTTCATTGATAATTTGAAGTTGCATTTTTAGTCACTTCTGGCACATTTTGTTGAAAATTAGGTTCTGTAAAAAACAGGTTCTATTTGAATCCCAATAACATGCTTAAGTCAGCTGTCAAAACTTTCCTCTTCTTTGTCATAGCCAACAGTCTCATGATCAAGGTTAAAGTGGTCCACAATGTTGGTAAGTGAAGGTTTTGGTTCAGTTGCCATGGTGTGTAGCTCCAGAAGAGCATCCTGGGAAACGGTCTTCCATTTATCAACCAATCCCTGCATATGTGTCAAGTCATTCTGGAATACATATTGATGGAATGTTATCTTTTGGTGATTTTTATTCATCATGACAGATGATGTTGAATACAACATGTGTACAAAGATGTACAGATGCTCTCACAGTTTTAGAATACTGTAGATACACTTATTTTGACGCTACTTAATTTGATGGATTTGCTCAATTTCAAATATTGGTGGCTATTTAATTTGGTGGATTCAGGACTGAAGTTTAATTTTTGTTGATGTTTATGTCATTAGGACAGGTGTTTAAGATATTTTCTGTATTTCTTTTGGAATAATGTAGAATTGATGACATGTTGACAGGATGGGGCCCCTGGAGTTTAAGTGCATTTGACAAAAATTCCAAACTGAAATTTGAGATTTTTAATTTGGCGGATTTTCTGAATACGCCAATCCATCAAATTAAAATGGGAGCCAAATTAAGTTTATCTACAGTAGATAACGAAAGACAAATAGGCATAACTGCATGCTAACCTTGGACCTGTACATTTTCACCATTTGCAGTTTTCTCAATTTTTCTTCCTTTTCCTTGATTCTTGTTTGTATTTCAGCCTTCTGCTTCCTCAGTTGTATCACATCTTTGATATCACTAGTTTTATCACAATTAAGTCTAGACTCTGCACTATAAATAGGTGAATGTTCTTGATTTAAATTAGATCTAGCTTTCTGACCTGGCACTTTATTTGTGTTAGCTTGTTCATTGATTATGTCTTTAGTAACCTGAATTACTGCATTTTTATTAGATGTTAATTCAGTATTAGGAATATCCTGTTTTGTTTTCTGTTCACTATTACATGTATCAAAACTCAATGTTTTGTTCACTCTTGGGCTTTTCCGTGCCCTCTTTGTACCATATGGGCTATGTTCTACAGGTGCTATATCTCCCTTTGTAGTATTTGTAGTGTTACATTTTGAGGTTGGGACTCCAAGTGCAGGCTCTATGGATCGATCACTGCATCTTGAGACATTTGAACTGTTGCATGCTGGTGAAATTACATTTGAGGGTGACTTGAAGTATCGACTTGTTCGTTTTAGTCTCTCACGCAGGCTGGCACTCATCTGGAAAGATATCACAATACATTAAAGGTCATGTCAATATTGTTGGAAATTTCTTGTTCATACCATTAAACATTTAAAGAAAAGACAGAAGTTTGTTTTTGACCATTCAGTTTTATTTTTTACTTGTATTATTCTATTTGTAAGTTTGTTTTCATAATGGGGTCATGACTCCCCACTGAAATGATTATGTGTGCACTCAAGGTTCTCAGCAGAAAATATATTCTTCAATGATCATATAAAAATTTCTGACTTAAGACAATAAGGATCTGTATCAGGGGTCTCACTAGAATTTCTCACAACAGGCTGAATACATAAAAACAACAGGCAAAATTGATAGAAATCATAAATTTAACATGGAAAAAATGAAAAGTCCCTAAAAACGATCGGCAATTTTGTGAAAACAACTGGTGAAAATCACCTGTTGCCTGCTGCTAATGAAACAACTGTGTATGGTAATTTAATACTTGATCTTATGTTTTGAGGGGTTGGCAATTCATAAAAATTACAACCTGGTGCAATTCATGGCTAGAGAATGGCGCATTCAGGTTCATTCAACTGTACACGAGAGAGAATGGAGCTGCTCCAGGTTCTAAAAACCTAGTGAGAAACGAGAACCCAGGTCCCAGGCACTAGTTTATCACATCCAATATTTGTGTCTCGTTACATAGTACAGTATATACTAGTCATGAACCTACCTGTCTGCCAGCTGACACAGGTGTTCCTGCCTTTATTAAGTCTGACATTATTCCCTCCTTACTGCCTGCCTGTTTATAACTGAAGAACAAAATGAACATTATGACATGACTTGTATTAACATGCCATTACATCTATTGGTTTTCTGAAAAAATAATGATAAATAAAAAATAAGCACATTTTAAAAGTATTACAAGTGTACAGTATAACATTACTGATCTGAGGTTACATCTGTTTTATTTGTGTACAAAAAAAACCCAGATGTGAACTTAGTTTGGTTATGTTTGTAATGCACTCAGAAATAATTTCAGAAGTTGATGGCAGACATTTCGACACACTTGCTGATTTAAAGATTGAGGTGTATATTTCTGCAATTTGATACAGCCACTTCTTTTTGGTTTTGACAGATTGAGAGAATGTTTAGGCTTTTGAAATCTAACGTGAGCTTCTATTGAATGCTCCCAAGACCATAATGGGATTGGAACTACAATGTACATGTAGATAAGAGTCATATCTTTACAGGATGCAGGTACTAGTGATCTGCAGTATTGCCGGAAGTACCTTATCAAGGGGTACCAAATATACGGGAAGTATCGAAACCACTACGTCCCGCAAAACCGTTATTTTGAATTTTAAACCTACTAGGTGTTTGAAAATCAAGAATTGTGAGTCCCTACTGCACAGTTTTTATGCCATTACTTATGCCATTAAAAGCAAAACAAAAATGCCTCCTGTTGGTGCATTGCTTTAGTGTTAGTGTTCAAAATTGACCAATATGTCCTGTCATCTTCCACGTTGTCTTTAGTCATAAACTCACGTCGTCTTTGTAGTCATAAACTCGACGGGGCCTGAGAGTCTCAGACGGGGCGTAGTGGAAGACAATGGGACATAATTGGTCAATTTTGAACAGATGTGTGGGTGATTTCGAAACTGCTGCGTTTAATGCCCAAACATGAAATGAGGGTCCATTCTGGAATTATAGGAAAAATGAGTAAAAGACTGGCTAATAAGACTTTTGAATTTGACTTCATCATTCATGATGATGCATGATTTTTAAAATTTTCCAATTATTTTGATCATTTTTTGCAAACCTAGGCTAAAGGAAAATGCTGTCAGTTCCTATGATAATACCCACCTCACATAGCACCTCTATAATATACCATGATGTAACACGGCTTCTTCAAATTAACTCCAAATAAGCTATAAATCACGAAAAACAAAGTGCAAGTTGAACATGTTCAACAAAAATTCAAATCTCGCGCTAAAATACACTTGGAGACTTTGCGAGATGACTGCGCGCGCATCGAAAACGGAAAAGCGCAAATTTTGAAGTTCTCAAAATAAAAGTAAGATTTTAGTTATTTATGTGTCAATCAGACATAGAACCTTGTTATTTTGTGTAACATTTGCGTCTTTTGAACAAACGATTTATTCAGGTACGATCAAAACTTTATAAACAGTTGCGTAGAAGAATAAACCTGAACTGAAAATATGGGCAATTTTTTGGATTCTATAGACTATCTATATCTATAATTCTGGAAGAAGGATAGTCCTGTATAATCCAGATCTTTTTATGTATTATTTTCATATCATGTTAAGGGGGGCGTTGTTTAATTGCTCACTGGACATGGGTTAGTTGTGGTGAAGGAATTTCTGTCTCATCAAGTGCTTGTCAATTCCATTCTTGAATTGATTTATATCTGTGGTGTCTATTACAGATTGGGGAAGATTGTTCCATGTGTTGAGGATTCTATTTCCAAATACATTTTTTCTTACATCGAGTCTGCTATATCTATGGCTTAATTTTTCTGTATTCCCTCTCGTCATCTTATTTTCTGATTTTTGTGCAATGTCCATGAGTTTGATTCTGTCATAACCATTCACTATCTTGAATACTTGTATTAGGTCACCTCTAGTTCTTCTATATTGGAGGGAGGGGAGTTTTAGTTGTTTCATCCTATCATAGTAGCTTAAGTCTTTTAAGGTTGGTACTAACTTGGTGGCTCTTCTTTGTACTTTTTCAATTTTAATGATGTCTATATTTGTATAAGGACTCCATATACTATTTCCATACTCAAGGTGGGGTCTAACGAGGGATTTGTAGAGAAGTGGTAGGGTGGTTTTGTCCAGATGAGAAAATGTCCTTTTTATTAATCCGAGGATGCTGTTTGCCTTGGCTACTTGTATGTCGATATGTTTATGAAACTTAAGTTGATTGATTGGATTAAGTTAGTTGATTGGATTGATTTCTTTTTTGTTTCCTCAGCATCTTCCATACAAACTGGAAGTTGTATCAATCCTTTTTGGGGCCTTTACATAGACTTTTGCCCGTCACCATTCTCTGTAGGGATGTCATCTCCGTAAAGGCCCAAAAAAGAGACTTGATGCAACTTTTTGAGTCAACATCTAATATCAAATTCCTAGGCCTAAACACGTTCCTGTCCGACAGTCAAAATATCAATTTTTAGAAAAAGTTTAAATGCCTCAATTGAATCATTTCGTCTACTTACAAATATTTTATAAAATGTCAGGTTATAAGACTTGAATTTGACATCATCATTCATGATGATGATCATGATTTTTAAAATTTTCCAATTATTTTGATCATTTTTTGCAAACCTAGCCTCTAGGCTAGAGGAAAAAAGAAAAAATGAAGAATAGGGCAAAATGAAAAAAATAAATGGATAATTTCATAGCCGAGGTACATGCTTAGAAGACGGTAGAATGTATTCTCTCTATATTTTGTTCTAAACATACATTGCTACAGAGGGCAGCGAGGCAATGTCATCAGCCATTTGTTGTCCAAGCTGGGTATATCATCATCGAAATTTCATTTCAGTTTGGATTAACTTTAACACCTTGTTGTTAATTTGCACTAATTCTCATTTTAGGGGAAGTCGTGTTTTTCTTCTTACAAGGATTGAGATCTCAAGTATTTTTATTGAAATCGAACATCACAGTCAGTTTGCAGTTATGATTTGATTTTGTCAATTTTGCCAAACTGATGAATATGATCCTAGACTTGTTCCAATATTGTAAAAATATTTCAGGAATGTGATGACAGGAATTTGAACAAAAATTGCACCTACTGAATGATAGTTAAATCATCGAAATTTTCAAAAACAGAATTGCCAGACAGTTTTTTGAAATTCGCCATTTTGACCAATCAGATTGCAGCATTTTGAATGGCATCCACTTTTGCCGGATACTCCAGATTAGGATATTGAACTCGCAGAAAATAAAGTAGAGATCATGATTTGAGCTTCTCCCAAATTATAACTGTATACATGGCAGAAATGGAATTTATTATTTCTAACGAGTGTCAAAGTTACCCTATTTGTTATATCGGCATTATCCTACATGTCAATGTTATAAGCATTTGACCTACCTACATGATGACTTTGTTTCTATGTCATCTATAGCCATATATTTGTCGAAATCTTCAAAGCAGAATAAAGAGGATGAACTGATACTCTCTACCAGTAAATGGTCAGGGTTGTATGTTGAAAATCTACTCACTATATAGGAATATGATGAGGAATATGATAAACCCTAAAATGAAATAAGAACCATTAAAATCTGGATCAAATAGGATTGATATTCCCAGTAAAAAAGCTGATATTGAACTGATATTTAGTTGTGCTGGATGTAATTGTTGTACAAATCGCATGGTCACTGGCTGCATATATTTCTTAATTTCATTTTTTTGTGATTCAAATTGCTATATGCATTATTTACATGAATTTAAATAATTTCCAGGTCTAGTTGTGTCTTATTTCGATTATGTCTGGGGTAGATGTTCTCTCCCCGCTGCCACGGAGTAATAGTCGCCTTCAAGAGACACCCCAGAACTATATCTCCCCTGCGACCAGGAGGCATGGCATAATGACAGGAACATCCTCCCCATTGATGGGAGGCAGCATGAATGATGATGAGGCTGAGAAAAAGGCCAGGCGAAGATCTAAAGTGATGGAATTACACCGCAGGAACATTAACAGTCCATCTACACCATCTGATAGAAGACGGTCTCTACCACTTACGACACTCTCAAATACTCAATTGTCAGAGCATTATACGAACTGTATAAAACTCTCAGCAGAAAATGTAAGGATTAAGAATTTCTTAATTGACCTATTTGATGAGGTTAAACCAGATCTTCTATTATTAGATTTTATAAAAGTACAGTTATTTAGGTCTATCATAGTTTGTTTGAACATTGATTTGTCAAAGTGTTCACAGTTCAACTTCTTAGCCTATTATTATGTCACCACCAAAAAGTGGTGACATATTGTTATGGTCTCCATTTTTTGACAGCAGTTGGCGGTTGGCGATCGGTGTCTGTAACAAATTCTTAAAGGCCCCATATAAAGTTTAAGGATGCAGTACCGGGTCGGTTTTCACGTCTGTTTGCGCAGGTTTGACTTCTGGTTTGAGAAAGCTAGCTCCCAAGAACCTCATTTTCGCATTTAGTCTTATTCAAAAATTATAGTTTATTTCAATAATGGTGTTTCCAGAAAAGAATTAAATTGCAAACATTTCATCAAGCATATTTTATCCCTTTCACTTTTATGGGAAAACTTGTTCTCGAGTCGTAATTAGTGGATACGAAAACCAGGGTTCGAAGGTGCCAGCTCTATTGAAAACTCAAAAAAGTAAAACGATTCATTTTGGGTAGGTAAAATAATTTTTTATTTTGTAATTACCAGACGGTCAATCCTCTTCATATTGCACTTGGATGATGATAACAGCATAGTGATACATTGTAACAAATATGAGCAAAATCTAATGTCTGGAACTTTTTCTACGCTGACCTGGTACTGCATCCTTAAACCACTTTGGCTTATATTGTAGTCTTACCCAATGTTATCAAAGTGTGATATGTGAAACTTTTTTTTTAAATTTCAAAAAGTGGTTTTTGATAGACTTTTTGTTCCAAAATTTGTGAATTTATTTAAAACCAACTTTTAGAGGTCACTCATATCTTCTAATTAGCCACAATTCATACCAATGCATAGCATTCATCCTCCCATGTTTTTTGCCGAAAAAATTAAGAAAATCGGTTCATAAATAAGCGAGAAATGAACTTATCAGTGCATGAAAATGGTTCTGAGAAAAATGCATTTCAAAATTTTAGTTCTCATAGAAACCAATGGTACCATGATATCTAAAACAAAATTTATTCTTCCTTTTAACCTTGTTAGACAATCAACATTGGTTTTTATTAAAGTCTAACATATTTAGAAAAGATTGACATCGAAAAAATATTTTCAATTTTTTTCAAAAAGTTTTTGCTACCTTAGTGACATCACTAATGTTTCAAAATATTTTTGATATGCTAAAACATTAAAGTGGCCCATTAAATATGGCATTTTAGTGTGTCCTTTGTTCAATCTTTGCATTGGTGTTAAAAAGATAATATTTTTTGAAATGCATTAAGAAATATTTGATGATTAAGACGTTTCAACTTTTTTTTGAAAAATGGCGGGAAATTTGAATATTTGAGAAATGAAATGCTCACAACTTTTTTTTGAAAAAAAAATTTTTGTTCAAAAATCTCTAAAATCACTTTTTAAGTCCTGACAATTAGTAAATGAATGATAAAAAAATATTTTCAAACTTTAGACGGGGACTTTAAAACTTCCAATAACTTATAACAAATACTGTTTAGACTGACTTCAATTTTTTTCAAAATCATTTACGTGTTTTCAAAAGTTCAAATCTGACTCTATATTCAAGATTTGACCTTCAATGACCTTTCCAAGGTCAAAGAAGGTCAAAAAGATCTTTTTTTAACTTGCTTCAAATTGACCATTTCTTTCAAAATCATCTACAAATTATCAGAAGTTCAAATCTGACTTTAGATTTGAGATTTAACCTTCAATGACCTTCTCAAGGTCAAAAAAGGTCAAAAAGGTATTTTTTCAACTTGCTTCAAATTGACCAATTTTTTTCAAAATCATCTACAAGTTTTCAACAGTTCAAATCTGACTATAGATTTGACCTTCAATGACATTCTCAAGGTCAAAAAGGTCTTTTTTCATCTTGCTTCAAACTGAAAAATTTTCAATGACCTCCTCATGGTCAAAAGGTCTTTTTTCAACTTGCCTCAAATTGACCAGTCTATTTTTTCAAAATCATCTACTAAACTCATAATATTGTGAGCAACTAGGTGGTGATATTTTGTCATGTTAATGCCTTGTTGATATATACTAAAATCCATGTGGCAACATTATATGTCTACAATGCAGCCTTGTACTCCTTCCTGCATAAAAAAACATTTCATTGTTCGGTGATATCCATGTATTTTTGAAAAAATGATGTATTTGATATTACAGAAAATAAATGCAAAAAATGCATTTGGTTTGCATTTGATTGACTACATGTCGGAGCTTTTAAAGAAGAAAGATTTGAATAATTTCCAAGTGGCAAGTTCCACATTGGATGCTAGTGCCAAGATTTATGCTGGGAGAGTTGACGCCATCCACACAGAGACATATAAGATGTTGGGTGGCCTTGGCAGGAGTGAAAATAAAAAGAAGGGTGAGTTAGAATGTTGTCATGCATATCATCCATTTGAGCTATGCTACAGACTTCTTTTACAGCACCTCCTACTCCCTATGGAGAGATGAATGCAAGAGCACTACATATGTTGAAAACATAAATCAAGTTGAAAAATAATATATAAATGTTAAGTAATATGTGTTTAAATTACTGATAATGTAATGAATGGGAATAGAAAAATGAATGAAAAAAATATTTGATTCTCTAATTGTATGTTGTGCAGGAGAAGATGGAGATGCTGTAAATGATGATATGGATGCTGCTGATGATGAAGAAAATGATGCACAAGTTAAAAAAAGGAAACGGGTAAGATACTATGAATTCAGACTTCCTTTTTATGTCACCACTTCTTATTGTTTTTGCCATTATATTTCTGTGAGCAGCATTTGGTGATGACAGTCAGTGGAGTTTGTAACCATTTTGCGATAACTTATTAGGAACAGAAATGGAACAGAAAGTATCATTTAATTTTTCTGCTTTTCTTCTCATATTCTTTTATTTATTTACATCTAGTACAGGGTGTTCCAAAAGTAACAGGACTGGTGCTGGCATTTTGTCAATTTTGCACTGAGTATCTTCAAATTTTAACAAATTGTACTTTGAAGTATTGCAACTTTAATTCTAAAGTATCAGAAAAAATGATGAAATGCAGTTAGAGTTATGGTTACTATAGTAACATGACATTCCAATACTGGGGCAACTTTTTTCCTGAAAATATGATATCTAACATTTTTGTATTACTGAAGAAAGTATCTAATTCACCTATTATAATACAACATTTCTTGTTTAGTTTATTAATTCCTTTGTTGTAAAGGTGTTGCTATACAACTCAGATTCAAGTATAATTTCATAATGATAATAGCATTTATTCAATTTCCTGGAATATCACAGTGTATAACAGTCTGAACAATTCACGGTTGAGTTTTTGAAAAAACCCAATTTGAAGCCAGTCATCTACCGTGATAGCGCACCTGCTCGCAGGTCAGCATTAAAGACCATGCAGCTGTAGAGGAACTAGGTCTTGAGGTCTAAAACCATGCACCATACTCCTCTGATCATGCAATATCTAATTTTTACTTATATTGAAAATGGAATGCTAATCAGTGCTGTAAGACCTTTAAAGATGAGAATGACCTTCTCCAAATTGTCCGACCCTTCATGACATGCCCTCAAATGGGTTCACTCATGTGTTTGGGTCATGGATACAGAGTACTAGTCTTGTACTGACCAAAGACGAGCCTATGTTTCAAAGCAGAGGATACATAGGAATATCAAATGATGTAAAACAAATGTAATTCCCACCAGTTGTTGCATTTCAACTTTGATGGTGCAAAATGATATGGCATGTACAAATACTTAATGTCTCTGTGACTTTTTAAGTGGAATGTTGCCCCGGGTATTGTGATGTCATGTTACTATAGCAACCATAACTCTACCTGAGTTTCATATATTTTGTAGAAACTTTGCAGTCTTAGTAACGATACATGAAAGTATGTTATGTAAAATTTTGAAGACGATTGGTGCATATTTAACAAAATGCCAGCACCAGTCCTGTTACTTTTGGAACACCCTGTATGTATTACTGCTGCATTTGGATTAGCAGCTTTTGAATATTAGTAAATCAGTTGGGAACTCTTGTGAACCAAAAGGCAAACAAGAATACTAAAAATGCAATTGAACCTGTTTCTGAAGATGCTACCTGTAACGTGGTAATGAACATTCTTTGCTAATTGGGATTGTATTAGCCTAGTTTTTGTATTGTATTTTTTGCAAATGTATTTCACACAGTTGATTCTTTGCAATAGTTCCTAATTTATTTTTCAGGCAAGGAAAAGTAATACAATAGAGCAGAATTTAAAAAATATAAATGTCAACAAGTTTGATTTAGAATTTGAGGTAAGTGTAATGCATGGTATATACACTTTATTGAAAAAGTCATTCAACATTGCAAGTAATGCAAGATACAATTATAGTATAACATGTACATATTTTGTCATGCATATATTTTTGTAAGATATTTGTGTGATAGAGTCATGATTTACAACAGTTTTTATATTTCCTGAATTTCTATACAAATGTACATTGATCATGAACACTTCTTTTTGATTTCATAGGTAGATCCATTGTTCCATAAAACTGCCTCTACCTTTGATGAGGGTGGCTCAGGGGGTCTCTTACTGAACCACCTACATTGTATAGATGACAGTTCACAGCTTATCCTTGACTCAAGCACTGTTGTTATGAACACAGATAGCACTAAACACAATGATAAATCACGTGCACTGGTTGATCTAAGCAACTTTAAAGGTAAAAAATGGTGCACTTCAATTAAATGGTTCTGTCAATTCACAATTTGCTTTATATAAATAGAAATGCATTAAAATTTGTAAAAAATATGATGACATCTCATGAAACATTTAGCTTTCTATGAGTACAGTATATTTTGGTTTTAGCTCACATTGTCATCTTTTACACTTATATGTCATATTATATTTTATTATGCATCTCATTAAAATATTCAAATCTGATTGTTTAAGAGCTGCAGGGTCTATTGCCATATGTGGCAGCAAGATCTCGTTCTATCCAGTATTGGATCTCCAACCATGGATTGGATTGGATCTCCAACCATCCCGTATGCCAAAATACCTATCCTCGGAAAAAAATACTAGGCTCGGCTTCGCCTGGCATATCCACCTCATGGTCATCCAGTATTTGTTTAATATTATGCTGTTTCAGATGTGTATGCTTCTCTGAACCAACCAGGCCTGAAGATCTGCCCCCAGTTTGCTGACTTTACCTTTACTAACTGGGACCAGACACGATCAGAAGAGACGTTTAATGCCATGTTCAAGGGGTCAAATGATCATGTCTTTGATCTGCATGCTGAGCCTGAACCAATGCATGAAGATACACAGACAGATCGGGGTGATGATGCATATAGCGAGTTTGGCGGTGGAGATGGAGATTTCGCTGATGATGATGGAGGTATGTGCCACATGCTACTCCTGGTCTAACAAGTCAGCCAATATTTTTTTTCCAACTGATTTGTTTTCCAACTGAATCTTTTTTTTATTTGTTTATTTATTATCCCAGCAAAAGGAAGTTTGGTGGGGGTAACGGTCTATATCTTCCAGTTATTGGTTACTATCCAGAAGTTTTGGCCAAAATTGTTCAGTTTTTTTTGGGAAATTTAGATTATTAATATAAAGTTAGGAAAATGGCCAAGGTCATAGGAAAAGGTAACACAGCTGAATTTTCACTAAAGCAATATTAGCTCTAATAACATATTTACAATTTATTTACAATATATACAACATTATAACATACAAAAGAAAAAATACATTGTACAAATTCAAGCCGTAGCAATTGTCTTTATCATCAGTTTATCATCAAGCACTTCTCCTACGTGGAGCAGACACAGCTATGGAACAGGGCCTTCAATTCTGACATGTTCTTATATTGCAGTTGTTAACTTGCTATTGAACCACAGTTCATAACTCTCATGAATGTCTGCTAGTTGCAGTTAGAATGAGCTGAATTCAGACTTTTTGTTTGTTCCTTTGCAGCTGTCTTCTTTCTGGTTGTTCTCATTCTTTGGTTTCCTAATTGCAGCAGTACTGATGGCATATTTTGCCTCTCTTGCCTGGAAAGAGAATTTAATATGTACAATTTATTTGCCTTTTTAATGGTGTCTTACTTATTTGATGAAAGTGTTTGAAATAAAAGTATGAGAACAAGTCTTTTAGTTAAGAAAAATACACTTATTTATTTTTCTAAAAGTTTGTTAAATCATCTTAAAAATATTTTTCTTCCTCTTACCCTTTTTCCTAATCTGTGTACTGCTCTCTCCAGGAGTGACCTTTTTGGGGGATTTGAGAATGTTGGGTCGTACACTGGTGACATTCTTAAAATAGTCTCCATGGTGCAGTCTGCCTTGGTGTAGATACCATTCTTCCCAAATTTAGTAAAGTCTATCTCAGGCCATTCATAAATGTTGATAGAATCTATCTCAATGGCAGGAATGTCTTCTCTAATTTCTTCCACATTGTCTACTGCTGGCTCTATGAAAGGACTGATTTTGTTGCTTCTATTCCAGAAGCTCTTTGTTTCAGTTGATTCCCAAAAGAATATCCTGCTAGCCACTTTCCTCACCTTGTGGCTTTTATTCAATTGTGGTGCCATATTAGATATTGTTAATCAGTTAGAATCCTCTTCAAAATCAATTCTGTCTTAGCTGTTCAGTTTTTGTGTAAGGAGTGTTTTGTTTATATTAGAAACAGTATCTCAAGGTAATATGGATTGTAGACTATGACATCACAATATTCTTGTTACTATGAAGTAAAGGGCCTAGCAACTAAGTTTATGTGTGACATCACAGTCTTATGATATGGTTGCCATAGAAATCTCCTTAATGAAGTTCTATTTATGCTGTTACATCATAATTGGAGTGAAAACTAAAACAACTATGAAGTCAATTACTATAAATTATCTATACTTACCTGACAAAGAACAATTTACACTATAAAATAATTTCCCATGTTTTGATTTTTCACTTCTCCAATACTACACTGGATTCACACATTAAAGGTGGGCAAATGCATTTCATAGCAAAATATTATTGTTTCCGAAACCAACATCGTTGATATGATATCATAGCAATTTCAAAAATGGATGAGATCATGGGAAAAAGATAATACTTATACAACTGAATTTTCACTTTGTGAACATGTACCTAATGACCTACTAGGTGTTGCAAGTTTGAGGAATTTCATTTCATTAGCAAGATTGGCTATAATTACATATTTACAATTTATTTACACTATATACAACATTTATATACAAGAGAATAAAATACAAGTTTAAATATATTAACATTAGAAGAATAACTGCAGCCGTAGCAATTGTCTTTATCATCAGTTTATCATCAAGCACTTCTTCTACATGGAGCAGACACAGCTATGGAACAGGGTCTTCAATTCTGACATGTTGTTATATCGCAGTTGTTAACTTGCTATTGAACCACAGTTCATAACTCTCATGAATGTCTGCTAGTTGCAGTTAGAATGAGCTGAATTCAGACTTTTTATTTGTTCCTTTGCAGCTGTCTTCTTTCTGGTTGTTCTCATTCTTTGGTTTCCTAATTGCGGTACCGATGGCATATTTTGCCTCTCTTGCCTGGAAAGAGAATTTAATATGTACAATTTATTTGCCTTTTTAATAATGGAGTCTTAGTTATTTGATGAAAGTGTTTGAAATTAATAAAAGTTTGTTAAATCATCTTAAAAATGCAATTATTTATTTTTCTAAAAGTTTGTTAAATTATCTTAAAAATATTTTTCTTCCTCTTACCCTTTTTCCTAATCTGTGTACTGCTCTCTCCAGGAGTGACCTTTTTGGGGGATTTGAGAATGTTGGGTCATACACTGGTGACATTCTTAAAATAGTCTCCATGGTGCAGTCTGCCTTGGTGTATATACCATTCTTCCCAAATTAAGTAAAGTCTATCTCGGGCCATTCATAAATCTTGATAGAATGTATCTCAATAGCAGGAATGTCTTCTCCAATTTCTTCCACACTGTCCACTGCTGGCTCTATGAAAGGACTGATCCTATTGCTTCGATTCCAGAAGCTCTTTGTTTCAGTCAATTCCCAAAAGAATACCCTGCTAGCCACTTTTCTTACCCTGTGGCTTTTATTCAATTGTAGTGACATATTAGATATTGTTTATCAGTAAGATCCTCTTCAAAATCAATTCTGTCTTAGCTGTTCAGTTTTTGTGTTAGGAGTGTTTTGTTTATATTAGAAACAGTTTCTCAAGGTAATATGGATTGTAGACTATGACATCACAATATTCTTGTTACTATGAAGTAAAGGGCCTGGCAACTGAGTTTATGTGTGACATCACAACCTTATGATATGGTTGCCATAGGAACCTCCTTAGTGAAGTTCTATTTATGCTGTGACATCATAATTGAGGTGAAAACTAGAATAACTATGAAGTCATATGACAATAAATTATCTATTCTTACCTGACAAAGAACAATTTACACAATAAAAATAAGCCCTTTGCAATTTTCAATGTTTTGCTTTTTCACTTCTCCAATACTAGACTGGATTCACACAACAAAGGTGGGCAAAGGCATTTCATAGCAAAATATTATTGCTTCCAAAACCAACATCGTCGATATGATATCATAGCAATTTCAAAAATGGATGAGATCATGGGGAAAAAGATAATACTTATACAACTGAAATTTCACTTTGTGAACATGTACCTACTGACCTACTAGGTGTTGCAAATTTGAGGAATTTCATTTAGCAAGATTGGCTATAATTACATATTTACAATTTATTTACACTATATACAACATTATAACATATTCAAGAGAATAAAATACAAGTTCAAATATATTAACATTACAAGAATAACTGCAGCAGTAGCAATTGTCTTTATCATCAGTTTATTATCAAGCACTTCTCCTACGTGGAGCAGACACAGCTATGGAACAGGGTCTTCAATTCTGACATGTTCTTATATCACAGTTGTTAACTTGCTATTGAACCACAGTTCATAACTCTCATGAATGTCTGCTAGTTGCAGTTAGAATGAGCTGAATTCAGACTTTTTGTTTGTTCCTTTGCAGCTGTCTTCTTTCTGGTTGTTCTCATTCTTTGATTTCCTAATTGCAGTACTGATGGCATATTTTGCCTCTCTTGCCTGGAAAGAGAATTTAATATGTACAATTTATTTGCCTTTTTAATGGAGTCTAACTTATTTGATGAAAGTGTTTGAAATAAAAGTATGAGAACAAGTCTTTTAGTTAAGAAAAATACACTTATTTATTTTTCTAAAAGTTTGTTAAATCATCTTTAAAATATTTTTCTTCCTCTTACCCTTTTTCCTAATCTGTGTACTGCTCTCTCCAGGAGTGACCTTTTTGGGGGATTTGAGAATGTGGGGTCATACACTGGTGACATTCATAAAATAGTCTCCATGGTGCAGTCTGCCTTGGTATATATACCATTCTTCCCAAATTTAGTAAAGTCTATCTCAGGCCATTCATAGATTTTGATAGAATCTACCTCAATGGCAGGAATGTCTTCTCCAATTTCTTCCACATTGTCTACTGCTGGCTCTATGAAAGGACTGATCCCGTTGCTTCTATTCCAGAAGCTCTTTGTTTCAGTTGATTCCCAAAAGAATATTCTGCTAGCCACGTTGCTTACTTTGTGGCTTTTATTCAATTGTGGTGCCATATTAGATATTGTTCATCAGTTAGAATCCTCTTCAAAATCAATTCTGTCTTGCAGTTCAGTTTTTGTGTTAGGAATGTTTTGTTTATATTAGAAACAGTATCTCAAGGTAATATGGATTGTAGACTATGACATCACAATATTCTTGTTACTATGAAGTAAAGGGCCTAGCAACTGAGTTTATGTGTGACATCACAGCCTTGTGATATGGTTGCCATAGAAACCTCCTTAATGAAGTTCTATTTATGCTGTTACATCATAATTGAAGTGAAAACTAAAACAACTATGAAGTCATATTACTATAAATTATCTATTCTTACCTGACAAAGAACAATTTAAACAATAAAAATAAGCCCTTTGCAATTTTCCATGTTTTGCTTTTTCACTTCTCCAATACTACACTGGATTCACACATTAAAGGTGGGCAAAGGCATTTCATAGCAAAATATTATTGTTTCCGAAACCAATATCGTTCATATGATATCATAGCAATTTCAAAAATGGATGAGATCATGGGAAAAAGATAATACTTATACAACCGAAATTTCACTTTGTGAACATCTACCTACTGACTTACTAGGTGTTGCAAGTTTGAGGAATTTCATTTAGCAAGATGTGGCTATAATTACATATTTACAATTTATTTACATTATGTACAACATTATAATATAACATAGACAAGAGAATAAAATACAAGTTCAAATATATGAACAATGAAAGAATAACTTTGCAGCCGTAGCAATTGTCTTTATCATCAGTTTATTATCAAGCACTTCTTCTACGTGGAGCAGACACAGCTATGGAACAGGGTCTTCAATTCTGACATGTTGTTATATCGCAGTTGTTAACTTGCTGCTATTGAACCACAGCTCATAACTCTCATGAATGTCTGCTAGTTGCGTTGCAGTTAAAATGAGCTGAATTCAGACTTTTTATTTTTTGTTCCTTTGCAGCTGTCTTCTTTCTGGTTGTTCTCATTCTTTGGTTTCCTAATTGTATTACTGATTGCATATTTTGCCTCTCTTGCCTGGAAAGAGAATTTAATATGTTCAATTTATTTGCCTTTTTAATGGATCTTACTTATTTGATGAAAGTGTTTGAAATAAAAGTATGAGAACAAGTCTTTTAGTTACACTTATACACTTATTTATTTTTCTAAAAGTTTGTTAAATCATCTTAAAAATATTTTTCTTCTTCTTACCCTTTTTCCTAATCTGTGTACTGCTCTCTCCAGGAGTGACCTTTTTGGGGGATTTGAGAATGTGGGGTCGTACACTGGTGACATTCTTAAGATAGTCTCCATGGTACAGTCTGCCTTGGTGTAGATACCATTCTTCCCAAATTTAGTAAAGTCTATCTCAGGCCATTCATAAATGTTGATAGAATCTATCTCAATAGCAGGAATGTCTTCTCCAATTTCTTCCACATTGTCTACTGCTGGCTCTATGAAAGGACCGATCATGTTGCTTCGATTCCAGAAGCTGTTTGTTTCAGTTGATTCCCAAAAGAATACCCTGCTAGCCACTTTCCTTACCTTGTGGCTTTTATTCAGTTGTGGTGGCATATTAGATATTGTTCATCAGTTAGATCCTCTTCAAAATCAATTCTGTCTTGCAGTTCAGTTTTTGTGTTAGGAGTGTTTTGTTTATATTAGAAACAGTATCTCACGGTAATATGGATTGTAGACTATGACATCACAATATTCTTGTTACTATGAAGTAAAGGGCCTAGCAACTGAGTTTATGTGTGACATCATAGCCTTATTATATGGTTGCCATAGAAACCTCCTTTAATGAAGTTCTATTTATGCTGTGACATCATAATATTAATTGAAGTGAAAACTAAAACAACTATGAAGTCATATTACTATAAATTTTCTATACTTACCTGACAAAGAACAATTTACACAATAAAAATAAGCCCTTTGCAATTTTCCATGTTTTGATTTTTCACTTATCCAATACTACACTGGATTCACACATTAAGGTGGGCAAAGGCATTTCATAGCAAAATATTGTTGTTTCCGAAACCAACATCGTTGATATGATATCATAGCAATTTCAAAAATTTATGAGATCATGGGAAAAAAAGATAATACTTATACAACTGAATTTTCACTTTGTGAACATGCACCTACTTTACTCGAGTCTCTAGCTTACAGCTAGACGTAACTTCATTGATTTCGTATGTACTGTGCTACACGCACCTACACGCACCTAAAATTCATTTTTAATAAATTTTATAAATATTTCTAAGAATATTAATCATATATTTAGGATGAAGCGTTGCTTGTCTGGATTTAGATATTTCAAAATTTCATTTCGGAGTTTGACACATGGTGGAATTTTCTCGCTGTAGCTAAAAATGGCTTCCGGTTCTGGACGTGAATTCAATATTTGAAATTATTCTCGCTTAAAGAAATCAAATATAACAATAGATTCAGACGGGGATGTGAGCTGATGTTCTTCAAATCTATTTATAAAGGTATATTTCATATTATTATGCCATATTTACTGTGCGTGTGACACAATGATTTACAATATTTATAATACTAAGGCAGCTCAATCTTCCTCCTCAAAGCCGGAATATAGAGAAGGCTTTGGACCGAAGTAACACCTACTGACCTACTAGGTGTTGCAAGTTTGAGGAATTTCATTTAGCAAGATTGGCTATAATTACATATTTACAATTTATTTACACTATATACAACATTATAACATATACAAGAGAATAAAATACAAGTTCAAATATATTAACATTAGAAGAATAAATACAGTAGTAGCAATTGTCTTTATCATCAGTTTATTATCAAGCACTTCTCCTACGTGGAGCAGACACAGCTATGGAACAGGGCCTTCAATTCTGACATGTTGTTACATTGCAGTTGTTAACTTGCTATTGAACCACAGTTCATAACTCTCATGAATGTCTGCTAGTGGCAGTTAGAATGAGCTGAATTCAGACTTTTTATTTGTTCCTTTGCAGCTGTCTTCTTTCTGGTTGTTCTCATTCTTTGGTTTCCTAATTGCAGCAGTACTGATGGCATATTTTGCCTCTCTTGCCTGGAAAGAGAATTTAATATGTACAATTTATTTGCCTTTCTAAGTGAGTCTTAACTATATCATGAACACAACTGAAATAAAAAGTATGAGAACTGGAAAAGCACCATTTGAAAAAAGCATCAATTATTTTATTAGTTTATTAGTTGATTAGATCACCAAGCAGTTTTAGTCCTGAAAAATATACTTATTTTTCTATTTACTTTATTTTCTTGAATTTTTAAAGATTAACATGTTTGAAATAAAATTATGAAAGAAGAACCAGTCTTTTAGTTAAGAAAAATACTCTTATTTTTTTTATTTACTTTATTTTTCTAAATTTTCGTTAAATTATCTTAAAAATATTTTTCTTCTTCTTACCCTTTTTCCTAATCTGTGTACTGCTCTCTCCAGAAGTGACCTTTTTGGGGGATTTGAGAATGTGGGGTCGTACACTGGTGACATTCTTAAGATAGTCTCCATGGTGCAGCATGCCTTGGTGTATATACCATTCTTCCCAAATTTAGTAAAGTCTATCTCAGGCCATTCATAAATGTTGATAGAATCTATCTCAATGGCTGGAATGTCTTCTCCAATTTCTTCCACATTGTCTACTGCTGCCTCTATGAAAGGACCGATCCTGTTGCTTCTATTCCAGAAGCTCTTTGTTTCAGTTAATTCCCAAAAGAATATCCTGTTAGCCACTTTCCTTACCTTGTGGCTTTTATTCAATTGTGGTGCCATATTAGATATTGTTTATCAGTTAGAATCCTCTTCAAAATCGATTCTGTCTTAGCTGTTCAGTTTTTGTGTTAGGAGTGTTTTGTTTATATTAGAAACAGTATCTCAAGGTAATATGGATTGTAAACTATGACATCACAATATTCTTGTTACTATGAAGTAAAGGGCCTAGCAACTGAGTTTATGTGTGACATCACAACCTTATGATATGGTTGCTATAGAAACCTCCTTAATGAAGTTCTATTTATGCTGTTACATCATAATTGAAGTGAAAACTAAAACAACTATGAAGTCATATTACTATAAATTATCTATACTTACCTGACAAAGAACAATTTACACAATAAAAATAAGCCCTTTGCAATTTTCCATGTTTTGATTTTTCACTTCTCCAATACTACACTGGATTTACACATTAAAGGTGGGCATTATAAGGCATTTCATAGCAAAATATTATTGTTTCCGAAACCAACATCGTTGATATGATATCATAGCAATTTCAAAAATGGATGAGATCATCACGCCCGGTGATCGTGAAAATGGGACGGAGGGGGAGCAGGCAATTTCCGCAAGAAAATTCAACAAATCTGGTAAAATTATTTTTTCAAGACAGAGTTTACGATTGAATTGCAAATTGAATAAGCGCATGGTATGATTAAATATGTTAGGTATTCTAGGATTATTTTTCAACCGATACTCTTTTAAGATATAAGATCTATTTAAAAAGGAGCATAGCAACCAACGTGCAAAAGTCAACGTTTTTGCTATAAATCAAGCAACAATGGACTACACGACCTGTAATAAATACTTGTAAGTAATGTTATCATAACTAAATTAATGTCATTGCTGAATTTATAAAATAAGTTTCCATACGTAAAATAAAAAATAATCGAAAATAATTAAAATGGGACGGAGGGGGGGGGGGACGGAGGGGGGGAGTAATAATTCTATAAAGCGAAACAACTTCACACGAATTCTTGTATTTGAAAAATGAACTCATTAACTTAGTAAGAAACTGGATGATATACCCCCCCTGGAGACTGAAAAATGGGGACATTTGGAGTAAAAGGACTTAAAGTCGCGAAACATCTCTAATCATGTCTTATATACATATTGCTCCCCCCCTCCGTCCCCTCCCCCCCTCCGTCCCAAATTCATTATTTTCGATTATTTTTTATTTCACATATGGAAACTTATTTTATAAATTCAGCAATGACATTAATTTAGTTATGATAACATCACTTACAAGTATTTATTACAGGTCGTCCAGACCATTGTTGCTTGATTTATAGCAAAAACGTTGATTTGTGCCTGTTGATGGCCTTGCGCCTTTTTTAATAGATCTCAACCTTAGATGCGTATCGTTTCAGAAAAAATCCCAGAAAACCTAACATATTCTACCATACTGTGCGCCTATCCATTTAGCAATTCAATTGTAAACTTTTTCTTGAAAAAATAAATCTTCCAGATTTGTTGAATTTCCTAGCAGAAATTGCCTGCTCCCCCCCTCCCCCTATTCACGATCACCGGGCGTGATCATGGAAAAAAGATAATACTTATACAACTGAATTTTCACTTTGTGAACATGTACCTACTGACCTACTAGGTGTTGCAAGTTTGAGGGATTTCATTTAGCAAGATTGGCTTATAATTATAATTTAATATTATGTTTACAATTTATTTACACTATATACAACATTATAACATATACAAGAGAATAAAATACAAGTTCAAATATATTAACATTAGAAGAATAACTGCAGCAGTAGCAATTGTCTTTATCATCAGTTTATTATCAAGCACTTCTCCTACGTGAAGCAGACACAGCTATGGAACTGGGCCTTCAATTCTGACATGTTGTTATATCGCAGTTGTTAACTTGCTATTGAACCACAGTTCATAACTCTCATGAATGTCTGCTAGTTGCAGTTAGAATGAGCTGAATTCAGACTTTTTATTTGTTCCTTTGCAGCTGTCTTCTTTCTGGTTGTTCTCATTCTTTGGTTTCCTAATTGCAGTACTGATGGCATATTTTGCCTCTCTTGCCTGGAAATAGAATTATGCACAATTTATTTGCATTTCTCAGTGAGTCTTACCTACATCATGAACACAACTGAAATAAGAAGTATGAGAACTTGAAAAGCACCATTTGAAAAAAGCATCAATTATTTTATTAGTTTTTTCATTAGCTTCATAAAGTTGATGATTAGATCACCAAGCAGTTTTAGTTATGAAAAATATACTTATTTTTCTATTTACTTTATTTTCTTATTTTTTTAGAAATGAACATGTTTGAAATAAAATTATGAAATAAGAACCAGTCTTTTAGTTAAGAAAAATACTCTTATTTTTCTGTTTACTTTATTTTTTCTAAAATTTTGTTAAATTATCTTAAAAATATTTTTCTTACTCTTACCCTTTTTCCTAATCTGTGTACTGCTCTCTCCAGGAGTGACCTCTTTGGGGGATTTGAGAATGTGGGGTCGTACACTGGTGACATTCTTAAAATAGTCTCCATGGTGCAGTCTGCCTTGGTGTATATACCATTCTTCCCAAATTTAGTAAAGTCTATCTCAGGCCATTCATAGATGTTGATAGAATCTATCTCAATAGCAGGAATGTCTTCTCCAATTTCTTCCACACTGTCTACTGCTGGCTCTATGAAAGGACTGATCCTGTTGCTTCTATTCCAGAAGCTCTTTGTTTCACTTGATTCCCAAAAACAGATCTTGCTAGCCATTTTCCTAAATTTGTGGCTTTTATTCAGTGGTGGTGCCATTTTTAATATAATTTAGTAAGTATGCTTTGTTAGATCCTCTTCAAAATCAGCTCTGTCTTCGCTGTTCAATTTTGGTGTCAAAAGTGTTTTGTTTATGTTGACCATAGAAACAGTATCACCTGGTAATGTAGATTGTGGAATATGACATCACAATAGTCTTGTTGCTATGAAACGAAGAGCTGACAACTGTATTGTATTGGTTGTATTGTTGCCTCATATGTGACATCACAGCCTATCATTATGGCAACTATAACCAAAATCCCTGACAATGTTTTTATGTTATGACATCACAATTGAAATGAACATTAAATAACTATAGGTCATACATAGTTAGAAATATGCATGGTTACCTTCAATATTTGTTTAATTGTAGTACATGTCTCAACAAAGCAAACTTTACAACCATAAAAATATACCTAATAACCTGCTTCTTCCACTGTTTTCTCAAATATTGATTCAGGTACAAGTACAAACATGTGATAATTATGATAATCTTCATCTCTCTTTAGGTGAATCATATGTTACGGAGGCAGGAGACAAAGCAGAGTTTATAGGGGATGGCAAAGAAGCTAGGATGGTCACTGATGCTATAGATAATATTAAGTAAGATAATATTAAGTAATTATACATGTCAATATTATTGAACAGTTTTTAAGTATAACCTATCATACGAGTTTCAATCATTTTGTGTATGAACTGGCATTTTTTTAAACGTTTAGAATTTATCAATGTGTTAGTGTAGTCAGTTTATCAAAATATCTGCTGTTTACTGGCATTTTGAGACTCTTCACTCTCCCAATTTCGCAGAATATATTTAGAAATATTTGCATACGATTGTTGTATCCCAAAGAAAAAGCCTCTTAGCAAGATGAAAATCAATTTTTTTTATTAAACATGAACATGTTGTTTGTCATATGTTATATACATACTCATGTTTTTGCAGACATGGTACTATAGGAACCTTGCTGCAGGTATTGGCAAGTGAACCAGGGGAATATTCCTATTTCAACACATCATTACTCAGTACATGGGCTGGCCCAGAACACTGGAAACTCAAACCACAATCAAAAGGTAAATTTTTGTTCATAACATTTGGAATGAATTACAAGCTACATGTATCCACTTTTTGTTCAACATTTTTAAGATATCAATGCAATACCATGTGAGGATCAATGTTTAAGATTTTCTAAATGTTAAATAGTTTCCAATTTTATAAATAAAAAGCACCGGGGACAACATTAGAAATGCATAGCTTTCCTAAATACTAAATTCCAATTTTCTGTTACATAAAAACACTAATAAGGAAAACATTAAAAAATAAAAACAACCCAACCCCTATAAACCATAATATACTTCCAGATCCCAGATTTCTGAGTATAGCTGACAGGACCAAGAAACCACGGGAGAAGAAACAAGCTTTTAGGATTGACTATGATGATACTGAAGTGGACTTTGATAATTATTTCAAGGAGTCTCGAGCAGCAACTACTCTGGCTAAAACTACGCTGGATAAATACAGTAAATCTCAAACTACATTACCAGAGGATTTACATTATGAAGCTGAAAAATTATTTAGAATATTTATCAAGCCTAAAGTTATGGTGAGTATAGTGGTAGTCAGGTATGAATTTATTGGATTCTTTCAAAGGATTTAAAATGTTGCCATGCTGAAAATAGATGGCATTCTTGAGCATTTTCCTCATCTTTTATGAGTAATGGTGAAGATAAAAAAACATTTTGTTGAACATAACTTTGATAGAAAGCCATTGATGTTTTTAATGATTTGAAGTTGAAGATCAAATATATGTTTTGTAAGTGAAGGTTCCACGACCTGTATATATTTATTTGCATCTTCATAAAAATAACATGCTAAAACAGCAAAATATGAAATACAAGGTGTATTTTTATTTATTTTTCAGGTAAAGAGACAACATGGCACAAAGAATGACATTGATGATGGTATAAGTAACTATGACTACGATAATGCTAATGATAGAGAGAACTTCTGTCCTGATGTGGATGATGTAAGTTATGAAAATAAGTAAAAAAAAAGATAAGTTATGTAGAAGGGAAGAGGTAAGAATATATATAATGTACTGGGTGTTCAAAAAATCCTATAGAGGCAAACTTTCACATACTTTGAAATTTTTAAACATTCAATATTTGTCCTTTATTTATTTGTAAAAAACAAAACATTTGATACATTTGTAGGGTTTAGATGATAACGATGACGATGCTACGCTAGGGGGCTTCAATTTAACATCACAGGACAGCCAATCACAGGACATCACCATGGGAAGCTTTAACCAAACACTAGATGGCACTATTCTAGCAGGGGATAATCTTGTCTCACAACCTAATAGGGTAGGATTGTTTGATCTAAAAATAGAACATAACAGAGATAGATTCTGATGAGTAATTTATTTGAAAAGCCATCACATGCAGTAGTTTTTGCCCTGGTATTACGAGTATAATATGACAGTGCTACCACTTAATAACCACTGTTAGATAGTCAGTATGCAAATTGTTTGTTCAGTACGGAATAAAACTACATTATTATGCAATTTTGTTATGTTGACAGCATGAGCTATTGTTTTACCTTGATTTTAATCCGCAGGTTAACAAGATCGACATTGGTTATGCCAAGACTGCCAAGAAGGTTGATGTAAAGAAACTGAAGTCTTCCATCTGGACAATCTTAACAAAGTCTCCCGATAAACAGGTCAGATTTGAAATTCTCAAAATTAAATATCCTGTGATTTGTTTCTAATATAATGCATATTAAATGTATCAAAAATTCTATCCAATAGATTCTTCCATTTTTCTGAGCAAATGAAAGCCAAATGTATATACTGGTGAATGGTGATATGATACTATCAGTTATTACACGTTTCAGCATGTGATACGGGAAGTATTCCACGAAAGTAAAAATTGTATAACCACGAAAGCGCAGCTTGAGTGGTGATACTTTTTTACTGAGTGGAATATTTCCCGTATCACATACGCTGAAGCGTGTGATGACGATTTTATCACATATTATGTAGAAATTTAGTGATTTGATTAGCTTTCTTTGTCGTTCTAACTTCTAGTTCCTCAAATGACGAATTCATCATTTCTAAGAAATAGTAACATAGCCTATATGTGACGTCATTTTGAATTAGGAAAGAATAGAATGAAGTTGTATGACGTCATTTCGTTACCATAGACAACATGTGGTATGTGTGCTCGTATCATATGAAATTTATGTGATACGGGAAATACGTCATAGAAAGCAACCAATCAAATCACTAGATTTATACATAGTATGTGATAATATTTTTATCCAATTTCTTGTACGAAGTGCTACTTTAACATGTTTATATTTCCACGAGATGAAAAGAGAAATGCATTCACAATTTTCACAATACTGGTCCAAGGAATAAGTTTCTATGCATAATAATAAACTAAACTTCAATTTAAGATGGATAGAATTGATTGATTTTGGGACTTATTTTCACATTCTACTCCGAGCCTCCCTTAAAGTTGTGAAACTTGTCTTTGTTCACTTTCAGGAGGATGAAAAGAATGAAGCAGAAGAGGAAACCATTGAAAAACCAAATGACGTATCAGGCAGTCATTCTTTCCAAACTCTACTGGATACACTTCCAGATACAGTGTCTAAGAATATGTCTAAAAATCTCAGCATCCCAATCGTGTTTGTCTGTCTATTGCATCTTGCAAATGAGAAGGTAAGAAAGGAAATACTGTTTTCAGGTGTTTTGTAATATGATCTAAATAACTAATAAGTGAAAATAACCGAGTAAATCAAAGTAAAATCAAATAGTTGAAATGGTCAGGGAATTTAGATTTCTAAAAAAGTTCAGAGTAAAAATCTGAAAAAATTAATTTGTTGACATTTTAAAAAACTAGAAATTGGACCACAAACTAAAAAGAATACTTGACTTAATGAAAACTACTAAAATCATGTGTGTGCCATCCGCGATCCATGGATATGTTATTTGTAAAAAATATTTTATACTTAGATTGAATTTACCCCATTATTTTAAATTTCTGTTGCAGACGTTGAAACTTGTAAGTGATGAGAATATGGATGATCTCAATATATCTCAGGGGATATGACCTGCACCTCACTTAAAGGAATACATATTAGGTTAATGGGGCTATTGATTGTGTCATCGCAAGACAAGAAATCGCAAGTAAGCTGAAGGGCACCTGTTCAACATACAACTTGAGGAATCACATATACTGTACATAGTGCTTAAAGATACCTATTCCCGTCAGCATACAACTTGTGGAATCGCATATATTGTACAATGAACATTGTGCTTTAAAGCGCATTGTTCAGGATTTAACTTAAAGAATCAAATGAACATACTTTAATGCATAAGGACACCTGTTGGAATCATACACGCACAACATTTACATATGAATTACATTGCTACATCAAAAACCTACACATGCTCATAGTGATACACATTGAATATGGTAAATGGTATGAGTGATCTGGTGGATAATAGAGAGCTTTCGATATAAGTTTTCAGCTAAACTTATACTGCAACTTTAACTTTTAAATGCCAGAAACACCACTGGGGAGGAAGGTTTCTCCAAAAAATCATTAGAATAATTTCCTCATTTCCTAATCGAGTGAATATCCCAGCAATGGCAGAATTAATTTCTAATCATATTTTGAAAATGGAACTCATGAACCACATACTTGCTGAACATTTTGTTGTGGTTTGAAATATGAGCACCCTATCCTCGCTTCAAGAGTTCCTCCCTAGTGCTATACATGACTTGTACGAGTACTGGTTTGCGTATATGTATAAGAAATAAATGATATCAAAAGCTCTCTATTATGTCAGGCAAAACCGAATCATGTATTACAGAGTAAAATCATTTAGTAATATTTTGAACATCGATTACAGATGAAAAATTGTTGAGATTTGCCTCAAGCCTTTAATATTATTATATGTATCATGAAATTGAAATTATTTAACTTTTAGAGATTTTGTGCATGACTTAAATGTTTTAGTATTAGTGCATGTAACAATGCATAATTTGATAGATTATATCCCTGTACATATTAAAATCGATTATTTGTATGTTTTGTAAATAGAATTTAAAAAATGTATTCAAGCTGTATTTGTAGAAAATATTATAGTGCAACAAAAAAAATAAACTATGAAAAATATAATTTAAGAATTGTTGGTAAAATGAGTATATAACATTCATTCCAACTCGGTAAACTAGGCTCTCCTGAAGTTTAAGTATGACTTGATTTACACTTTGTTTGTTTTTCCTGGGTTTGTTTTCATAATTTATTTGAATGGATTCTCTTTTGGAGAAGGGGGGGGGTAGATATCTGGATAAGCACATTCTATGATTTAATTAAAGAAAATCAGCTTTGGTTACTTTCCCTATAAGTAGAAGCTTGAGTTTGAGTGGAAAGAGCAAGAACATTTTTCATAACTCCCAAAAGAATTGGAACATTTAAATGACTCAGTATTATGAGTAATACTTTTTTAACACGTTTCTTCAGGTTGGTAACATATAATGTGATAATTGTAAGGAGCATGATGTGTTTTGAAACGTCAATTAGGTTCTAAGGATGCGTCAAAAAGTAACAACTATGGATAAATGAGTAATATGTTTATAAAAAAGGGAATTTTCTCATAAACACCTAGACTAGACTTTTGACCAACTCATGACTGATGAATCACTACATGTAATTGTTATCATCGGGGAGTAGCTGTTCCGGTTTAAAGGAGTATGACTGGTCCTCAGAATCTATGTTTCAACCAGTTTATTGTTTGTTCCTTTTTCTTGGACGAAGGATGGTGTTTTAACAATAGAAATCGTCATTTGATAAGATTGTAAGTGGTCTCAACTTGCAGATGTTACGATTGTAGATTGTCTTGGAACAGAGTTTTGCCGGTGATTAATACAAGTTTCAATGTTGCTAAATTCAAGAATTCGAAATATAAAATTTGAAATTCAAATCATTATCTGATTGTAATGATTTTTTAGATGCACAAATAACGTCCCCTATACATCAAGATATTTTGAGTCTGGAAAAAATGTCCATTTTTTAATAATATAATAATTTGGCCTAAAAAGGCCCACTTTTTGAGGCCATACAAAAGTTTTGGGGGCCTAAATTTTTTCTGAGCCCACAAAAGGGCTTCGCGAACCTAGTATAAAAAATTTAAACCACAGTGGGGAATCAAAAATGATGGCACAGCCGGGCTCTGCAACTCACATAATTCAAAACAGGTTTACAACGCATTATTGCTTCACAATGGTGGTAAATCCAAACTTAAATTGGAGGGCATGTTAAGATTTAGGGTAAATCATTGCTTTGGATAAATTACACAAGAGCAGGTATGTCCCAATCAGTGATCAACATACATAGAATCCACCTGCAATAGTGTTCTTGTTGCTCGGCTTAGCATGCCCATGAACACAGCAAATTCGAAATCTGCCACAAATATGTCGTTTTGTCAAATTGTGTCCCTCACATACCAATTTAAACAAAAGAATCAGAAATATCATCGTATTTGTATCAAAATTCAAGTACTGTTGGCACAATTACATCTTCGTGTGATCTTAAGTGGAAAACGTACCCTTACTGAGAAAACTGGAGATTAGAATAACAATAGTCCATCCTTCTGCCCAATGCAGTGTAATGCTTTATAAATAAAGGACGAGTGTCTTTAAGACCCTATATTAGCCCCCAAGATATTTACAAAAATTGTACAGGATATCAAAGAGGAGACTTTGTTTGATAACCAGATCCAAAAATTAGGTCATTCTGACCTTTATATTTCAAAATATAGGTCATTCTATTAACTTGTATAAAATGACCTTTTCAAGGAAAAATTACTTTTTCACATCATTATTGTCACTGTTTCTATTTATTATCAAAATAATCATTATTTTCAGTCATTAAAGACTTTTTAATGGTATTATCCTACATAATAGTGACAAAGCATAATGGGCAACATTCGAAAACATATAAAATATAACAAGTCAAAAATGCCAAAAAAATATTGAATGGTGATCTTCTTTATACTTCATTTAGATCAATTGTCTAGAAAAAAGTTTGCAAAACTACGTCAGAAGAGAATATTGAGTTTTTTAAATTTACATCACAATGAGAAAGAACAAGGGGCAATATTTAAAAACACACAAAGTAATTTGACAAGTCAAAAATGCATATCAATCAATTATATATTGATCTGCTTCCTTCAGATCATTTGCTCATATACAATTTGTTTTAAAGTGGCAGTAAAATACTGAATTTATTATTGCACATCACAGTGAGGAAGCACAAAGAGCAACATTTGAAAAAACAAAAAATATAACAATTTCGAAAAGGTTACTATGGACTTTACATAACTGTTGATGAGCACATTCATGTGTCTGTTCATTATAATAAGAGATTCTATGGGCTATCATCATCTTCTTCAGATGACAACATTTCATACATATCTTTTGATTTTAAAATGTCAAACTTTGTGCATTTCTTTATGCTTTTATACCCCTTGTGCCTACAACCCTACTCCCAACTGGGCATGTACAACACCATCCAGTGATTGCATCAATACTATTACATACATCTGGATCTGGGTTACACTGCACCCATGTATAATGAGATTTAAAGGACACAAACCGATTACAGGACATTTACACAAATTAGGCCATATGTATCTTTTTTTTAACAATGGTGGTATATTTCCCATCCACTTGAAAATAGTCGTCTGTGTATCGTTTAGATTGGTTGGCTTGATCTCAAGAGAGTCCACTATGATTTAGATGTAACCCTCTGTCTCCATACAGGGGGTACTGGGAGATTGCAGTTCACTCATACAGTTCTGTTTGCTTAGCAAATGTTGTTTTCCTGCCTACTGATTGTGACTTACAGTATATTACTTCTGCACAATAAAGTTGAGCTGGATTTCTAAATATGAACATTGGTATGATATATGATATGATATTCATAAACAAAAAATGACACCTGTCACATGAAGATGGAATGATTGTACAACAATCATCTCATATGAATGTATTGAAAGGAATTGCATGTTATTATGTTGCTTAGAGCCATGGTAAAGATAGATGCTTCTCAAGAGGTCATGCTCCAGTGCAAGCATAGATATTAGTTCATGAAAAGATCATATGAAGAAAATATACTCAAATATATAAAACACAACTGTCACAATCATTCTAAGGATTTTCAATATGGCTGACATCATTTTATTTTATATTTCATGCTGAAAATTGCAGAAAAGTTCCATTTTTGCACAACGCCTGGTCCTTACCTAGATTTTTACATATCTCAAGAAGTACCTTAGAAGTACACTATTCCCCAACTACATATAACTTTCTAGGTAAGAACCAGGCGTTATATGAACAAAGCAAGAGTTTATCATGACCTTCCTCTCTCGAAAAATAGGTAGGTCAACACAATTGTAAACATAACTAATCCCTTCTCAATGACTTTTGAAATATGACTATTTATATGTACAAAATATTAATCCTATGAGTGTCTAGAGTGACACAATCAGACAATGGGACATCTGCCAAGTTGGGTTTATACATTCTGGAGACATTTTCTGAGATTGATAAAAAATTCACATTTTCACAGGAAGGGATACATATCTCCAAAACCAACCAAAATATACTTATATCAGTAATCTTGAATGCTTTTTATTGCTATTTCTTGAAAATATACATATTTATCTACAATTTGATCCTACATATCAAGGATATTAAAGGTGCAATAATTAGTGCAGAGGGGTCATTCGATCATAGACCAGTGTCAAAATATATTTAAGTTTGGATATTTCATCAAGACTAACATCTATTTTTATTATCTACAAAGAAACCCCTTAGATAAACATTATTTTAGCTGATATTCCTCTTGAAACATGGTGGATCTTAAAAATATAAAAGTGGAAGTCCCCTTTTTGAAGCTTTGAACTGAATTTACACTTCTTAATGCTGAAATTGATAATTTATCCATACATTTAAAAAAATAGGTATGTCAAAGAAGATGTTAAACCAAATGTTGCCTTGATAGCTCAGAAAAAATGAAAAAACTTTCCTATTTTCTCTACAGTCCTTATTGCCCCTTTAAGGACATTGCATTTTTCAAAATTGTTAAGTGACCCCAGGGGTGTCTATAGCCATTCGTTCTTTGAAACGCAAGCACAGCCCAGCCAAATGCAAAGAGGATGTTCACTAGCAATTAAAATATGGATTTCTCAGTTTTGGCATCGAAGTGCCATTGCTGCATGACCTTCCATTTTGGCGCTGAACTGCGTTGAACAGTTACGTGAGTCGTAGTCCGCGGCTTTGCCATCATTTTGATTTTCCACCTTGTTTATTGTTATTTTTCAAACATGTCAGCGATGATATAACAAATGAACAACCCAATTATCACTTGAAAAATGAAGCAACCTGAAGGATCAATAACAAATTTTAACATACAGTATAAACAGGTCCTCCCTTAGACAATCTTAAGATCTCAACTATCTTTACCCCTCTCATTACACAAAGTCACAGCCACG